TCCAAAATTAGCAAAAGAAAATAAAAGAAGAGCTCAAGTAGGAATACAATTTAAAATTACCTGAAATTCGGAATTAAAAATAAGCAATATGGAAAGAAGAATCCATATAAGAACCCAATACGAGATAAATAAAATAAAATAATATCAAAAATTAGAAAAATCAAAAAAATAAAGTAATATCGAAAATTAGAAAAATAAAAAGAGAGTTCAAGTAGAAATACAATTTTGAAACAACTGAAATTGAAAATAAAAAATTAAAACATTAAAAGAACACAATACGGTATTAACTATTTTTTTTAAAAAATAAATTCTGAAAATAGAAAAAGAAAAATAATATTTCAATTAGGAATACAATTTATAAATAACTAAAATTTATAATAAAAATAAAGACTATTGAAAGAAAAGACCATCTAAAATGCATAACGAGATAAATTAAGTAACATGCCTATAAAGAAGTAGAGTGGTGGCGGTTGATACAACATATAAAAGTTGTTAATAAAACACCAAATAGAATCCTAATGACGATTAAAAGGGGGGACTTCAGGCAGACCGTGAAGCAAACAAGTAAGACAGTTACTGGGACTTCTACAAAGTAAAAAAAAAAACCCATTGATAATCATATTCGATTTTTAAAATCTCAATGACAATAAAAAGGAGAAGCAGCGGGCGGGGTGTATAAGAGTATAGTTGTAGAGCCGCCGGCGGTTGACGGGACTTCTTGAAAATAAAAAATGAATTCCAACGATAGTTATGTTCGATTTTTAGAATCACAATGACAATAAAGAGTAGGTGACAGATGGGTTGTAGAGGGGCATAGTGGCATCATTTGATGGCACTTCTAAAAATTATAAAAAAATGAAACTATAAGTCCAATTTTTAAAGGTTTAGAACTTCTAAAAAGTAAAAAAAAAACAATGATAAATTTTAAGTAAAATCGTACTAAAAGATATGATTTTGTTTGGGTGCTAGCCGCGCAATTGCGCGGGCCACCCAGCTAGTTATAGTATTAAAACAGCTTTGAAAGGAGGCACCACGTTCGCTGTGGGGGCTAGAAATTCCCACATTAATCGGAGAAAAAGAAAAAAAAAGAAAAGGTGAGTCCAAGTAGAAATACAATCTAAAAATAGCTAAAATTCGGAATTAAAAATAAGCTATATTGAAAGAAGTTTCCATATAAGAACCCAATACGAGATTAATACAAATTCAAAATAAAAATAAAATAAAATCTGAAATTAGAAAATAAAAGAAGAGTTCAAGTAGGAATACAATTTACAAATAGCTGAAATTCGGAATTAAAAATAAGGAATATTGAGAGAAGAGTCCATATAAGAACCCAATACAAGATTAGTTAATGTTCGGAATAAAAATAAAAAAACCGAAATTAGCAAAAAGAAAAGAAAAGTTAAAGTAGGAATATAATTTTGAAACAACTAAAATTCAAAAAATAAAAAAAAACAAAATATTAAAAGAACACTATACGGTATTAATTAAAATTTGAAAAAAAAATAAATTCTGAAATTAGAAAAAGGAAAAAAGATTTCAATTAGGAATATAATTTATAAATAAAAAAAATGATGATAAAAAATAAAGACTATTAAAAAAAGACCATCTAAAACACGTGACGAGATAAATTAAGTAACAGGCCTATAAAAGATTAGAGTGGTAGCAATTGATACGACATATAAAAACTGTTAGTAAAACACCAAATAGAATCCTAATGATGATTAAAACACCAAATAGCAAGACGGTTGCCGGGACTCCTAGAAAGTAAAAAAAAAACCCATTGATAATCATATTTGATTTTTAAAATCTCAATGAGAATAAAAAGAAGAAGCAGCGTGTGGGGTGTATAGGAGTACAGTTGCAGAGGCACCGACGGTTGACGGGACTTGTATAAAATACAAAATAAATTACAACGATAGTTATGTTCGATTTTTAGAATCCCAATGAAAAATAGGTGGTGGATGGGCCGTAGAGGTGTATAGTGGCATTGTTTGATGGGTCTTCTAAAAATTATAAAAAAATGAAACCCAACAATACAATAAACTCTAAAAACTACAAGGTCCAATTTTTAAAGGTTCGGAACTTCTAAAAAGTAAAAAAGACAATGATAATCATGATCGACTTTAAAATCTCAATGATAATAAAGAAGGGAGGCAACGGACGAGCCATAAAGGATTACAATGGTAAAGCCGCTGATGGTACCCGAACAATAATTATGTTCAATTTATAAAATCCCAATGACAATAAAGAGAAAAGAGAGTAGACAGGATGTAAAGGAGTATAATGGCAGCGTTTGACGGGACTTCTAGAAATTATAAAAACGAAACTCAACGAGATAATAAACTCAAAAAACTATATATAAGATCCAATTTTTAGAGGTTTAAAGGAGAATGAATAGAAATAGTGATAGACCGAGCAAATAAATAAAGAAGGATATGAGAGAAGTAAGGGGTAGCAGCTGGTGTGACTTTTAAAAATTATATAATTAGAAATACGAGGATAGCTATTTAATAAATCTTAAGTAAAATCATACTGAAAATTATATGATTTTGTTTGGCTACTAGCCGCGCAATTGCGCGGGTCACCCAGCTAGTTTATATTATCACACTAATTAACGGTAATAGAAATGTGGAGGGATATTACTGTCAAAATAGGTGCAGAGAGTATAATCATCATTTAACAGTAACTAAATCTTCTTTTCTCTTTTTTTTTTGCTTTTTCGATGAATATTGAGAGATCCCAATGTAATGGATGATCGTAGATCGATTTAGTTAGAAAAAAACATAAATAACAAATTAACTTCTAATCATTGTATTAGTAAATTACTAATTTACACTTAATAATATTGGTATTATAATACTAACAGTAGACAAAAATATGTTTTTTTATACGTGTGTGTCTATACCTTTTAATGTGTAAAAACGAAAAATACTAAAAAAAAGGAGAAAAAAGAGGAAAAACCGCCACGTGCCCTCTTTCCCCGCGCCCTTCCGCCGTCCCCTTTCCACGCGTGTCATGCGGCTGAGCCGCGTGGGGGCAGTGCGCGCGGATATCTGTCCTTTAGAGCATCCCCAGCAGCTCCTCTATCCGGTCCTCCATCCCCTTTTTGGCGCATGGAGGTGAAAAACAACGCTCCAGCAGACCTTCCATCACACACGCCATTTTTAGAGGACCTCCAAACCGCGTCCTTCCCAAGCTAAATATGGAGGTTCTCTCCCCTCACGCCATCCTCAACTGCCGACCTCGCGCCACCATATGGACTGCATACCGTAGGAGAGAGGAGGTGCATACCGGATTTGGAGGTGGAGATCACCAGAGTAGAGGTGGAGAGGCAGCAGATCTGGTAGTGAGGTCGCCGCCGTCCCCGTCGCTCAGGGTCTCCGCCGGCGCTGCCGCTCTTCTGACCCCACTGCCCCTCTGCCCCACCGCTCCTCTGTTGCCCCTCCGCTGCCCGCACCACTCCTCTGACCCTGCCGCCCCTCTGCCCCGCCGGCCGCCACCCCTCCGCCGCTCGCGCCGCCCCTTCACAGAGACTGGGTGGTGGTGGCGACGGGCCATCGGCGGGAGGAGGAGGGAGATGGACCCGCCGGCCGCCCCTCCGGTCGGCCCTCGTCCTCCCCGTCCTCTCGGCGCCGGCGGTAGAGAAGAGAGAAAGGCGGGGAGATCAGCGGTGGAGAAGAGAGAAAGGTGGGGAGTGAAGAGATAAAGGTGGGAAATTTTGTTAGAGTGGTGATACATATGTGGTAGTTGTAAAAATTAGTAAAATATAGTATGTAATATGGATGATCTGTTGGAGTGAAAAGTAATATAGAGTAGGAATCTTTTTGGATGACTATCTAAATAAGAGTATAGAAGATGGAATTTAGATGAGCTGTTGAGGATGCTCTTATCAATTTTGCACCCAGGTGTGCTCAATTATTCACCCCCTCAGACCTACCGAAACGGAGTATAGCAAATAGTATACGACTATACTTAATACTGAGTGTGCTTAGGAACTGAAAAACGTATTTATGTTCTATGTGAAAATGTAACGGTCTACACGTACAGTGGCATAGCTCTGTTTAGTTACCAAAATAAAAATTTTCACGTTGTCACATCGAATGTTTGGACACATGCATATAGTATTAAATTTAGAAAAAAAAACCAATTACATAGATTGCGTGTAAAATTGCAAGATGAATTTTTTACGCTTACTTGCGCCATGATTTGAAAATGTGGTACTACAGTAAATATTTGTTAATGATGGATTAATTAGGCTTAATAAATTCATCTCGCAGTTTTCTGGCGAAATCCGTAATCTGGCGAAATCCGTAATTTATTTTATTATTAGACTAAATTTAATATTTTAAATGTGTGTCCGTATGTTTGATGTGACAAACAAACTTAAAATTTTCCTCAATTAAAACTTTTGGATGTCACATCAGACGTTTGATCGGATGTTGAAAGGGGTTTTCGGACACGAATAAAAAAAGTAATTTCATAACTCGCCTGGAAACCGCGAGACGAATCTTTTGAGCCTAATTAAGCTGTCATTAGCACATATGGGTTACTGTAGCACTTATGGCTAATCATGGACTAATTATGCTCAAAAGATTCGTCTCACGATTTACATGCAAACCGTGCATTTAGTTTTTTTTTATCTATTTTTAATGCTTCATACATGTATCCAAAAATTCGATGTGATGTTTTTGTGAAAAGTTTTTGAAAACTAAACGGTGCCTAAACAAGGCCATACTGGGATGGCTCTTCAGCGCGCTTGAGGGGCTTTGAGCCGATAGATAGTTTCGAAACCAACAAAATGCAGTAGAAGTACTCTCGAGCTATAGTCGCGACGTGCTGCCCCGCAGGAGTACAGTAGTAGTACAACGTAAGCGGGAGCAACAGACTCCCCCCCTGCAACCCACTGTGCCTGTGCCCTCGACGCGTCTCCGTCGCTTTGGCAAATGTCACGTACATATTACCGTCTCAGGCTCTCAGCCATGCTCCCTACCACCCCTGCAGCGAAGCAAAAGCCACGCACGCGGCGCCTGACATGTAACAGGACTAGACCATCTTGTTCATTTCCCGCACCCCCTCCTCTCCTCTTCCTCCATCTGCCTCTTTAAAACAGTAAAAATAACCGTGCATCCCCTGGGCAAAATCTCTCCCATACATACACTACAGCGGCGAACCTTTCCTTATTCTCGCAACGCCTCGGTAACGGGCAGCGCCTGCTCCGCGCCGCGGTTGCGAGTTCGGGAAGGCGGCCGGAGTCGCGGGGAGGAGAGGGAGGATTCGATCGGCCAGAATGGGGAGGGGGCGCAGCGAGATAAAGAGGATAGAGAACCCCACGCAGCGGCAGTCCACCTTCTACAAGCGCAGGGACGGCCTGTTCAAGAAGGCCAGGGAGCTCGCCGTCCTCTGCGACGCCGACCTCCTCCTCCTCCTCTTCTCCGCCTCCGGCAAGCTCTACCACTTCCTCTCCCCCACCGTCCCCTCGTAAGCTGCCCTGCCACACATCCGCTTGTCGATCCGTCACGTATGTATATGCGCGCGCGCTGTCTCCTGACATTGTTGGTTAATCCACGTTTCGTTGCTGCTTCTTTCTTGGCGCAGCGTGAGGGAGTTTGTCGAGAGGTACGAGGCCACCACGCACACCAAGGTTTGGGCAGATATCAGGCAGGTACGTAGCACGTAGTACAACGCAACGCGCGTAGTAATCAGTTGTTTGAGCGTTTTCTCACCAGTAAATAAACGTGCGCCGTTTTTTTTTTCTCTTCCTTGGCACCGCGCATGCATGTAGGAGAGGCGCGCCGAGCTGGAGAAGGTGGGCAGCATGTGCGACCTCCTGGAGAAACAGCTGAGGTAAGCAACTCGATGCGAGCTGATCGATGTCACTCGTCATGATATCGTGTGTGCTTTTGTGTTTTTGGCAGGTTCATGACGGTGGACGACGGCGAGGAGTACACGGTGCCGTCGCTGGAGGCGCTGGAGCACAATCTGGAGGCCGCCATGCGCAAGGTGCGCTCCGAGAAGGACCGCAAGATCGGAGGCGAGATCTGCTACCTCCAGAACATTGTACGTCTTTCGTAAACACGGCCCACTTCTGATACGATTCATACCTGTGCCGTCAGGACACTTGTACAGATTTACAGATTGCGTTGTGAACCGAGACCAAACATCACTAGTAATATACATGTGTTTTTCGATTATCTGCGTGCAGATTAGGGGGCGACAAGAGGAGCGGTACGGGCTGTGCGACAAGGTAAAGAATATAATCATTCTGGCTATTTATCAAGTTGTACTATCTTCGTTTGTTAGTCAGTTCATTATCATCGTCATCATCAATTTTCCCTTTCAAATGGTCAAAAAGAAATCTTGTGTAAATGTTCTTCATAGGCAAATGTTGACAGATGATAGGCAAACACTCGTGAGAAACATAGCACTTGGCAGCAATTTCATATAAGTATTGAACCCACAAGTGCAAAGAAAGACATTGATCCAAACAGGTAGCTAAGTTCTTTGGTGTTCTTGGTCCTGTAGTTTTGCCTTCAGATCTTAATTCATCTCTAAATTAGAGATAAATAAGCAAATACTAGCCTATAAGAATGGTTAGCTGAGAAATCATTGGTTTATTTTAGTTGACGGATCAAGATACATAGCTTTCCCTCCAAAAATAAAAATAAGACAGAAAATAGATCGAAAAACCATGGTAGATTTGTTTTAAATTTATTCCCCTTTTGTTGCTGTGCCTGGATATTTGGTTCTTTTTTTCAGACTATAGGATACAGTATAAAGATAGACGCAAGTATAGGACTATAGAAGCACCATTCAGAGGAAGCGTGCATGCCCTACTCATGGTACTACATACACAGGCACAGTAGACCGATGCTAGACAAGAGCAATGCTCCATTACAAGGCATAAAGAGACACAAAGTATACTAACCTAGAACATATAGACCCTTTCATGGAACCCCTTTACCATGGAAGTGGAATAGCTTTCAGTTCGTGAAAGCAACTGCATCAACCTACATGAAACTATGCAGGGTAGCTCATGAAGCCTACCTACAGTGGCCGCTAGTAGCTTACTATTGGGTTACGTGGGTAGAGAAAGTGACCAAAACTTTTTGTTTGATTTCTCAAACCCTCCTTTTTGTTTCTTTCTGAGATTTTGAAATGCTTCAGTATTTTAGATGTTGCTCTGTAATTTTCCTGCACAGATTGCTCATGCACAGACTCTGAAGGATGTGGAATGTGGATCCACCTCACTAAGCAATGGCTTGGACCTTAAACTGGGTTAGTCATACGACTGAATCATGTACCTTATGTATGAATTGGGTGATCCGATTGTATTTGTACCTTACAAACCTCGGTATTATGCAGGGTTCAACTAGAAACAGATGGACGCTTGACGTTCAGATTTCCTTTATTGCTGCTTAGAGCCAGTGTTCTATTATGAAAGATTATGCTGAACTTTTCCGGGGTTAAGCAATATCTAGAAGTGTTTGCGGCAAGAGCTCATCTTTTGTTTCCTGATCTCATGGGAACTCTCTGCACGGCGTCATGTATTAGGCGAATATTAGCATCACATCGGAAACTACTGAATATTACCTTCGTCAATCTTGTTTTCACTTTAGACAAAAAGAAAAGGAAAAAGAACAAAAAAAATCCAGACCGAAGGAAAATCAGTGAGAGATCTCAGCAGAAAATTGCTCGTCTCCACAGACTCAAAGAAGCAACGACAAACAAAACGATAACAGCAACGAGGAGCTCAGCAAGAACGTAGCGATATAGAGATTATAAATCACATCACAGAGATCATACTCAAATCTCATCATTGCTCCAAATCGTTGCAAATCAATCTGAAAAAACGGCAAGAGAGGTAAAATCACGCTAAGCAATAGAGCCATCCCAAAGCAAAAGGAGGAAACAAAAAAAACGCCACAACGACGGGAGAGAATGGGGAGGCTGCGCAATGCCCTTCCGGATTCACTAGTCGCCCCCGGGCTTTTAAGAGCCGCAATCCTACAAACGGCGGGGCGAAAACCCTAGGCCGCTGAATCGATGACCGTCTGATCAACCGTTGATGGACAAGATTTCGTATCCTTGCACCAAGCCTTAACTGGGCCAAGCCCATCTTCAATAGCCAAATCTAGGCCTCAGTGGCTTCCTCTGAAAAAGGAATAAGTTCACCAGAGGTCCCTCAATTTAACAGCGAGCTTTTTTAGGTCCCTTAACCAAAAAATAAATGTGTATCCCTAAACTCACACAAACCATACACTTAAGGTTCTATGACAGTATATATGGGTGGTTTCGTTGACGTGACACCCTGGTCTTCTTTTTTTCTTCTCTTTTCTTCTCCTTCTCTTCTCTTTTCTTTCTTCTCTTCTTAAGTGAGGGAGCCGGTGCTCGCCCGCCACACTACCCCGCCCCTCTGCTCCTCCCGTGCCCGGAGCCGCTGCCTATGCTCCGTCCGACGAGGGGGATCACAACAACAACAACAACATTGCCGCGGCCATAGCCGGTGGTGGGGGTGAGAAGAGGATCACACCGGCGCCTGCGTCCTCCACGTCGCCGTCCCTATCGGCTTCCTCCGACAGCTCGTCCGACTACCACGAGGATGCTCCTTCCACGGCGCCGCAGCCCAACTTCTGCAGCCATCTAAAGCGTTGACGGCGGCCGCGGTATGGCTCGTCGCATTCGGGTCCGTGTCCCTGGCTGGGAGGATGCGCATCATGGAGGTGGGACTCACCGTGCGGCAGCGACGGCGGTGACAAGCGCGCCACGATGCAGACCCACCGTGGATACCGACCGACGGCTCGCGGGCGCTGCTCCCTTTACCTCCCTTCACCGTGGCGACGGGGCGGAGGTGGCTGAGGCGTACGGAGGTGCCTCAGAGGTGGAGGCGGCTCCTCCGCTCTCGGGAGCGGCGGCGGCTGAAGGGGCAGGCACCGCCCGCCCTTCGCATCGGGCAATCTGGAGGTGGAGGTGGCTTCCCTGCCCTCGGGAGCGGTGGCGGCTGAGGGGGCAGGCGTCGTACGCCGCCGCGCTCGAGATCCCTGGGCAGAGGGAGATGGGGGACGGATCGTGGAGGTCAGGAGCACTGTCGGTGCCGACGGCCCGGATTTGCCGGTGCTCACCATTAACGCCAGCACCACGCGGAGCGGAAGACGCGGCCCGACCACCGCCTTGCTCGCACCATCGTCTCCGTCTCTCCAGTGACGCTCTACCTGAGCCACCACTTTGACTACGGCGGCGGCGGCGATAGCAAGGACGCCACGGCGGGCGAGCGACGGCTCTCTCACTGAAGAAGAGAATAGAAAAGAGAGAAAAGAGAAGAAAAAAAATTTGTAGCTGACATGTGGGCCCCACATACTTTTTTAAAAAAAATTCTGACTAGGATGCCATGTCAGCGAAACCACCCATATATACTACAATAGGACCTTGAGTGCACGGCTCAAAATCTCACTGTTAAGTTGAGGGACCTCCGATGAACTTATTCCTCTGAAAAACTTTAAATCTTTGACGGGCCGAAAACCAGTACTCTCCTGATTCCAGATAGGCTGAGGTTGCATACCAAGTTGATGTTTTGGGGTTATTTTGGGCTATTTCTGATTGGCGGTTGTTTTCAACTTGTTCAATGCAACAAGTTGAGACCAAACAATACTAGTGTTTGGAGGAAGAACATAAGTTATGATTGGAAAAAATTCTCCAATCATAACTTATGTTCTTCCTCCAAACACTAGTATTGTTGCGGCCCTAGGGCTAATAGTTAGGATTTCGCTGTGAGCATTAGACACTAGGGTTGAACACTAGTACCGAGGGTTTGAGCTTAGATGGATGACTGAGAGATGACAAACCAACGGTGGGGCAGCAAACATGGAAGGGTGGCAACTGGAAAGGCGGTTGCGGCACCACTAAAGCTATGGGGTTGGAGAAAGCCAGTAAGCGGCGTCACTGGTAGAGATGCATTACTGTGAGGGGTTAGGAGGCGGGGATAATGATGGCGTCATTGGTGAAGACGTACGCAAATAACTATGAGAGCAAGAGCATCTTGTTGCCATTTAGACAAGTACTCCCTTCGGGTTGATCATTTTTAAAATATTTATCTTTCAAATATGGTGACTACATGTATAGATTAGTCTCAAAAAGTACTTTAATAAAATCATATATTTGTTAACAGTTTTATACGTATTATAATGAAAAATAGTAGTCAAAGTTGTTTTTTGAAAACCGTGTTCTTGTCCAAAACGACTAGTATTATCAAACCGGAGGGAATATGAGCACTCGTGACAGGGGACGGGGAGAAAATGGGCATGGCGAAGGCCAGTTTGAGCAGGTCTTGGTGGTGCCGCTAGCATAAGTCGGTGATCGGGTTAGAGTGTGACAGTGCGAGCGGGTGTCACAGGGAAGAAGAGGATAAAATGTTATTGTATGATCATGACTCATGGTGTAATCTGATCGTAAAAAGTCTCTAAAAAGAATGAATTTGTACCAAGGAATAGATAACCCCTAGATTTTATTATTGGCATGCATTTTCATAGCGTGCGTACAAACGTACATTTATTTATATGCACCATCAGACGTTAATGCACTCTGATATTGTTATATGCATTGTCAATTATACTTTTTTTCTTTAACCACGTGAGGGGGAAAAGTTTAGTACGAAAGTGGAAGGGAGATAAGAGTGAAGTGCATTATCAGTCCGTAATCTCCCGGTCGAGTGGTAATCACGGTCGGTCTGTAATTTGGTCTCCTTTCCTGGTGTGCGCTACATGTGGACAAGGCAGGCAACGCATGATCGCTACCTGCACGGCTGCACCTGCACCGCACTGGATGCAAAATCCCGTTGCGCTCCTTTGTCGGTGGAGGCAAAACGCGAAGCTGCAGAGTTTGAGAGTTGTCAAATGTATTTTCCCACGCTGCATACAGAGTGGCTGCACGCAGCTGGAACATCTCTGGCTCTCTGCCGCGGAAGACCTTCTATCGCTCAGTTCTCCGGCGTCAGACTCAGACTGACAAGTGACAAGCAGAGGGCATCTCAGTACGCGCCGTGAAACGGTCAGCGCCGCGATCGATGGTGAGGCCTCTCGTCCGCCGCAGATCCGATCGGTAGCAATAGCACATATCACCTGACGCAGTAAACCGGAATCTGATGCAGCAAGTTGCGGCAGATTAACCCCAGCTCCCCATACAGGCAGGATTTCATATTACCTGGACTAATGGTGCATTTATCGCCCGCGACTAAACAATCGGCCGGGACGCGAGGCTGCCGCCGGTGTAAGGCGCAGTCATCATTACCCGTGAAGTCAAACCAGGTCGCGCCCCCCGCTCAAAACCACGTAACCGCGCGCATCCTCACGAACGGGTCGATCTCGCTTCACCGAGAACGCGACACTTGTTCAGAAAACTCATCTTGACACGCTTCCCAAATCTAGGAAGGGAAGTGATGAAGTGAACAGAGAAGAACGTTTATATTACCTGATGCAATTTGGAGCTCTTTGGGCGTTTCATTTGGAACTTTGGATCACACGCTGAGGCCTCCAATTGAACGGAAACTTTTTTACGGTCCTAGTATGTTGTTGTACAGCTGCCAAGAAGGCAGGACTGTAACTTTCCCAATGCACTCGTCCCCTGTAATACATCACCGGGCTCCCCAGGCTACTCTCGTAGACGGGAAACGCATTAACTGTGAACGGAATCTGATTTAGCCGGGCTGTTTGTTTGGTCAAACTGCAAATTAGTAAAAGGCCAAGTCGAGACCCAGATCGCCCTATAAATTAGCCGGTGCCGGAGCAACGCTGATCACACACTGCAACTTAACTAAAATTAGCGCCAAGCAAAAGAAAGTCAAGGAGTTCAGCAAAGATGAGGAGCCACACAGCCGTAGTCTGCTCGGCACTGCTCGTGCTTGCCGCTGCATTGCTGCTCCCAGCGCACCATGCGATGGCCGAGGACGTCGTCTCGAGCAGAGACAACACGGCCAGGGCGCCGTCATCTTCGCCGTCCGCTGCTACGGCCACGGCGCCGGCACCGTCGCCCTACACCGACACGGCCATGGCGCCGGCCCCGTCGTCCTCCAACGACACGGCCGTAGAGCCGGTGGCCCCGCCGCCGCTGCCGTTCATCATCGTGGAGGGCGTGGTCTACTGCAAAACGTGCAAGTCGAGGGGCTACAGCAGCGACATGGACGCGTCACCTCTCCCAGGTGCGCATCCAGGATCCTCTTCTCCCTCTGTCCCCCATTGCTACACATTTCTTTTCTTTTTTTCTGACCGTGTCGTGGTGCGGTGCAGGCGCGACGGCGCAGCTGGTGTGCTACGGGAAGAAGGTGGTGAACGTGACGGGGACGGTGACGGACGCGAACGGCTACTTCCTGGTGATGTTCTACGACCTGCGCAACTTCAACCCGCGCACCTGCAAGGTGTTCCTGGGCTCGTCGCCGACGTCGCTGTGCGACAAGCCCGTCTACCCGCCAAACAAGTGGATCGGCCTCTCGCTCCTCAAGGAGACCAGGACCGTCCCGCCCGTCGGCCTGCAGGCCATCTACTGCCCCACCAGCGTCCTCTTCTACGGCCCCGCCAACGCCGGCCAGTGCCCCTCCGGCTAACCAGCTGGCTCTAGCTACTCCGGCAGCTCATGGCCGGCCGTTACGCCGGCGACCGGGCATGCGGCACGCGCGCCGAGGTGCGTGACTGCGCGGGATCGATCGATCGATCAAGGAAGGAATAATTAAAGTAGGCAACTAGACATACGTATTGTCAACGTGTGTCATGGTGTTCCACTTGCAGTAGCGACTAGGTAGCGAGACTGTGTGTGTACGTTCAGTTCTAGTTTGAGAGGTAGCGCGGCTGTGATGTTTCGATCGCTTGTTGTCAGTGTAGCATTGGTGGTTTCTCCATTGGTTCTCTGTTCAAACTTGTATGATTTGTCCGCTTGCAAATTTTGCAAATTTTTTAAGACGTTGAAATCTAGGCCATCTGGTTCACTCGATCCAAAGTTCCAAACACTGGCCACTGGAACTCTGGAAAGTAGGAATCTTACAAGTCGTCGTCCATGGATCTGTAAGCCTCTGATTGCACACATTGCTAGAGCCTGGAGGGAAATGGTTACTCTGCCAAATGGACTATATAATGCAGCCTCTGACCACTTGATCTTAATCACAGTTGCAGATAGTACTACTACTATACACCTTCCGGAATGTATCAGTAATATCCTATGTGAATGTAATTATTTCGTCACTGTTTATTTAGAACAGAGAGAGGTGGCAACGCCAGGTTCAGTAACAAAACCAAAACAGAGTACACTTTGGAACGCTGCAGTATAGATGTCCAGTTTTACGTCCGGCTTTGACGCTAAATATTGGGTGCTGTGCAAAAAAAAAAGCAAAAAGAACGAGTAATTCACAGCAAAGAGAGCATTATAGTATGTTCACATTGACCAATTCAGTTCTTGCAAGAATTGGAAAATAGTCTTGCATCCTGTTGGTTGATTTTATCGGCTAATGCCGGTTAGTTAGGATAAGGTTAAAATTCGACCGATTTTTCTAACCTAACAAGAAACAAACTAAGAGATAAATCTGTTTTGTGTGATCGGTAAAAAATAGATTCGAATTTTAGATTGAGATAAACCCCGAGCCCCACCAGTGTCGCTATATAAAGAAAGAGAAGGATGGAGGCTGCGTGACGACTCAATTCTCTCCAACCCTAAACTCTAAATCAATCGCCCGATCGATTAGACACTGGAAGGGGTTCGTGAGGTATCTCACAACAGAAGAAGAAAAAAGAAAAGCAATGGCTTCATCTCAGGTCAGTTAGATCAATTAATTTCTGCATGAGCAGAAGGTGATCATGTTTAGGCTAAGATTCAATTAATTAATTGGATTAAATTCCAACATTGTGGTATCAGATACTAATCTTAGCCACTTGATCCCATCATCCCTGATTGAAGGCACTGTGCCAATGAAGTGATGAACCCTAATCTGTTAAGCCCGGCATGATGCCATGATTAATCTGTTAAGCCCCTTATTCTGTTTATTAGTTCTTAAAGTTGCTTTGTGTTGAGCATTATGTCATATTTAAGTTAATTAGATCGAATTAGGGTTCATGCTTAAGTAAATCATAGCTTCGGCTAGAAATCAGTAAGGGAAGGAGAAATTCAATCAGAGAGAGATTTTTTTTTCTCTCGAATTTTACTAAGCGGAGAACGAATGAGATAAACCAGATTGAAACTCTCATTGTTCCCAACTCATAAACCCTAGGTTCTTATCATATAAGAACAGTGGATTAAGAAGTAAATTGGGGAAAACAGGGGATAAACTAGATTGAAATTCCCCACTGTTAAGCAAAAGGGAATAAACAAGATTGAAATTTCCCGGAATCCCCAATAAGCCGGATCCAATCGGCCTAAAATCCCCAAATGAGGAACCCTAATTTTTGGGGGGAAGAACCCTAAGTCACAAATACCAGAATTAAATCCAAATTCAAGTCAAAATTAGGTTTGAGTTCGGGTTAATTACCGGATTTAGACCCCCTAAGCTTGCCGGAGCTCTCCGGTCTCCTCGGGGCCGCGCCGGTTGACCGCCGTGCGCGCGCCGCCTTGGAGCTTGTCTCTCCACCGTCCCTCACCGGGGACGGGAAGCGTCGGCTTGGCGGCTGCCTTCGGGCTCCGCACCCCCGCTGACGAGGTCCGGCCGCATAGACGCTTGCCGTCGCTAGTGCGCCGCCTCGCCGGACCGCCGACGCCGTAGCACACGGCTTGGCGCCGCCCTTGGGTGCGCCCCCCAGCCAGCCGAGGTGGAGCCGCTACGGCGCTCGCTGCCGCACGCGCGCGCTGCCTCGCCGGACCGCCGTCACAACATCGCTGCCGATTCGCTCGCTCGCTCGCCGGACGCCGAATCAGGAAGAGAAGGGGACAAGAATGAGCTAGGGTTAGGGTTTACACCCATTCCCCGTGGCACGCGATTTCTTCGGCGCGGGCGAAATCTTGGCCGTCTGTTTGATCGGACGGCCGTCCTCGCTCCCGCGTCGGGCCATCGCCGTTAATGGGCCGAGCCGATCTGGGCTGCGGCCACCTCAGCGCCGCGCGCGCATAAGTGAGCCGGTCCGTTTTGGGCCGGCCTCACCAATAAGAGTGGGCTCTTATTAATTTTAATCTTAAGCCCGCGAATTTAATGTCTTATTTATTTTCAGAAATTCATTTATGTGCTTTCTTAGCCATTTAAAATTTCTGGAAATTATGATCAATTATTTGGTCACTCATAAAGAAATTAATGATATGATATTATATTTGACCAACGTTAATATGATTTCATGTCAATATTTATTAAGGTTATTATTTCCTTAAGCCATTTAATTTATCCCTAGTTAAATGGAAATTTAACTAGAAAATATTTATGATTTCATGTCAACATCATTATGATGGTCATTGCCTTAGTAACTTAATTATTTATAGTCGAATGGAACCAACGAGAAATTCGACTAGAAAGTATTAAGATCTGAAGTTATATTTAACCCACGTTATTATAATTGCATGACAATTATAATTTTTATTCCTTATTTATTTTCTACCAAATGGTGATATAATTAAGGAATTAATTTTAAGATTATTCATAATTATTTATGACCAATGGTGCTTTGACTATGAAATTCTAAGTTTATTTTGCATACGATTGATTAAGCTATGGTAAACTAATTATATGCAATCAACAATTCTTATTATTTAAGATCAGTTGAAATAATGAGTAAATTATTTCTAGATAAATGGAACCAACGGGAAGTTTATCTACAAAGAAAGATGATTTCATTAAGATTGTTATTTCCTTAATTATTTTATGCCCAACGGTGATGTAATTAAGGGAAGAAATCTAAGTATTGTCAATCATTATTTTAATTTTCTCTGTCATTTTGGCCTTAATGGTGATATGACTTAGAATTTTATTTATGCCATTAGTGCATTAATTCCTTTTATCACTTCTACCTTACGGTGATGTGATCGAGGATATAATCTATCAGTAATCTTAATTCCTTTACCATTTCTGCCCAACGGTGATATGGCTAAGGATTTTAATTTTAATTCTATAGCATCACTAATGGCGTCATTTCCTAATCATTTCTACCGTATGGTGATTTGATTTGGGATTTTAAATTATTTACTTTATCACTTCTACCTTTTGGTGATGTGACATTAATGTTTATTCCCTAATCATTTCTGCCCAACGGTGACTTGATTTTGGATTATAAGTAATTCCTTCATTTTGTCTCTGCCCAACGGTGATACAAAGCGAAATAAAGATTAAGTTATTATTGTGTAAGTTAATGTACTATTGTACGTAATTTGCACAAGCAACCACAATAATAGTGCCACTTAATTTTATTATCAGTTAAAGTCTATGAAATTATTATTATTTTTCCTCATTGACTTAACGGAGCCTAAGGCCTATTTGAGTATGACTTAGCATTAACAAAGGATCCCTTGTGGCTCCCGCAGCTAATGTCACTAATGTTTCCTAAACTCAAGAGGCATCTTTAGCCTGGGAGAAGGCCAATATAATGCTATGTTTCGCATGTCACTCACAAATATTGAGATTATCATCCCTGTTAGTGTTAGGGGAGAATTTTGAGCATGACATTGTGAAACTGTATCTAGCAAACGTTGAGATGAACTTTAGAAGTTTGTCAAAACAAATGCTTAGTACAATTTTAGTGCCTATGCACATTTGCCGCCATAATTTAAAAGGTAGCACAAGAAATAAATCACATGGCGTGCAAACTTTGTGAGATGGATATCGCACATTTTATATGCGCCACTTGTCCATTTCATATGATTCTTCTCCCATTAGACTACGGTCATTTTCAGAGTTGTAATACTAAGACCAAGTGGACCATAATTGACTTGGTTCATCATTCCGCAAATCAATAAGAAATATAGAAGACTAAGAGGCAAACTAAGTAAGATCCTTTTAATCTTGTCATTTGATGGAAAAGATGAAGCTATACTATGGGGTTGTAGCAACTCCAAATTTAATAATAATAAAGCTCACTTTCCTCGCAAGGGGAAATAAAGTTGCCTCTATGTCGTATGTATGCTACTCTTGAAATTTTCTTGTGTAAGTTCTTTGCAAGAAATAGGGACATGCTTAATGTCCTGATTCAATAAAGTAGTTAAATAAGAAGATTAAGGGCATTATTTTGGGTTGAATCATTATGAGACGTTGTCGAAACTATGGCCTTATTATTCGGCCACATTTCTAGGGGAGAATGGACGTCTCATTAAGGTCGAGACACTTCACCCTTAGAAATTTCTGACATCTATTATTACTTAGATGATAATTCACTAAGTAAAATTAAGTGATTTAAGTTTATGAAAAATAAGATATTATGCTTCCATTAAATAAATAATACAATCAGTGGGAGCTCATCAAGAGCTCTAATAAGAGAAGATTATTCTACCTCATTTATGACTCATAGCTCCATTATGTGGATGCTAGAAATTTGTATCTCTTAATTTGTGACTTACACAATTAAATATACATAACATAACTTGAGGGTTTTGTTATGGAAATACAAGTCATATATAGGGTACAGACTTAAGAAATCCATTTGTGGACTTAATCAAACATTGATGATGTTTTAAATTCCGCTGCGTCATTAGTGAACTAAGCTTAAATAAGAATGAGGAGAATAATTATTCTATAATGATGGAAGTAAGACGTCATTGAAATTGTGTCATTGTCGCTTATGTCACATACCTAGGGGAGTTTGGAACGTCTCATGAGATAGAGATATTATTTCCCTTAGATTTTAATGGTGTTGTTTAGCTTTAAGTGAAAATTTCACGAAGTTAAGAGATTAGCCAACAAATGATTTTTTATGGCTATGTTTACCCATAAGCGACCTCCGATTTCCTTTAAGAAATTTAAGACACTAATGCTAAAATCAAATGAAGTTATGAGATCGGATTATGGTGGTAAACACTAAATAAAGCTTGTTCACCTTATAAGACATTAAAAATAAGCATTTATCCAAATGGTTTTCGAACCATGTAAGAATAAATTGATATGGATGAACAAAATAAGACATTAAAGTGTTCATCTAAATGGTTTTCGAACCATGTAAGGATAATTGAGATTGATGAATAAAATAAAGAATTTAGTAGAAGTTTCTAAATGAGTCAAAATAGTGGGCCATTTAAGTGGGTTAATGAAATTAAGCCCGACTGATGAAAATTTCGAATAATTCAAGTGAGGTGGATAGCTGTATGGAAATTAAAGGTGGAAATTTCACACCGGTACTCCATACTAATGACATTTTATTGTCAAGCAATACATATTGCTGTTAGAAATTAAAGGAAATTTTTCCATGAATTATTTTGGTCTGAAGGAGTACTGGGCTTATATCAGTAAGTCATATATTGACATAAAGAAATAATTTCAGAGAATTCAGTTAAAGATTAGTCAAGCTGAAGTTAAGTTATAAAGATAATCATTTATGATTCAGCTGATAGAAGCTTGAGATTAGCTCAAATCTGGATGCATACAGATTTGGCATACATTTTACTGGGAATCTTGACAGTATTAATTAAATCCAGACTAGACCACTGGTATTAAGAATGTTTTGTATTATTTACAAAGCAATCTTAAGTAACATGCTCATATTTCTAAAGTCCAATGATCTCAGAAGTTTAGAGACATTTGGACACTTATTTTGTGAGATGTGTGGATATATATAAAGATTATTAAGTTAACTAAGATTAAGCTATGTCCACACATAGGGGAGCAATAACCATGGAAAAGCTCCAAAAATAATCTCTTACTGCATAATCGACGATGCAGTTTAGATTTTAAAGCATGTTATAATTAATCATAAGAATATTTCCCAGAACTAAAAGTGGTAAATAGCGCTCATAAACCACTCAAAAGGTGTAAACCACCCAAAATATACTGTGTTATAAGTTGTGCACTGATTACACACAGTTTTCTATTGTAGTAGCAACATGTTATGTGTTTTCTGCCTAACACATTGATATAGTTGTGAAAGATATGTCCCAGGATCGAATTATTACTAAACTAAGCTTTTGCTCATGGATCCATACTCTAAAGGCTCATAAAGTTAAGATTAATTAAGATATGTTCTAGCCAGTACATGCATAAATAATAGCCTCACTAAGATCCTGGATGAGGGGGACTTAATTTTTCAATCAACACCCACTAAGTTAAGCTTGAGTTTATTTGGGTACTATAGTAAACTATAGGTCTTGTTGTCTCGGTGACGCATAATGTTGTTGAAGACACATTGCCTTGGGGAGCTAGTTTATGTGATAAACTCGTCAGTTAGTCTCAAAATCAAGGGGAGAATGTTGGTTGATTTTATCGGCTAATGCCGGTTAGTTAGGATAAGGTTAAAATCCCACCGGTTTTTCTATCCTAACAAGAAACAAACTAAGAGATAAATCTGTTTTGTGTGATCGGTACAAAATAGATTCGAATTTTAGATTGAGATAAACCCCCGAGCCCCACCAGTGTCGCTATATAAAGAAAGAGAAGGATGGAGGCTGCGTGACGACTCAACTCTCTCCAACCCTAAACCCTAAATCAATCGCCCGATCGATTAGACACTGGAAGGGATTCGTAACAGAAGAAGAAAAAAAGAAAAGCAATGGCTTCATCTCAGGTCAGCTATATCAATTAATTTCCACATGAGCAGAAGGTGATCATGTTTAGGCTAAGATTCAATTAATTAATTGAATTAAATTCCAACACATACCAAATGAGGTCGAATACTCTACTTAAGCATGCATTTTGTGACGACTGACTAGTAAGTATATTCGGAATTTTCCAGCACCTTTATGCTCCGTCTGCATTTTGGCCTGTTTACTATAGCCACTAATCACTCTTCAGAATACAAGAGTCAGAGCCGCCCTTGGATGTTGAGATACAGAGTACTGAGAGTAGCGTGAATAGTTAATAAGTACTACCACCCTCCCATGAACAGTACCGTGTCTAGATTTATTAATATCTATATAAATATAAATAAATGCTAAAAAGTCTTATAATCTGAAACGGAGGGAGTAATAATTAAATCGTCTTAGTATTCTCTCACCATTAAACAAAAGAGTTTCACTGATAAGTGATAACAGAGCACTTAGGGCCAAGTAGTTGCTAACTTGCTGATGTCCTTGTCCATGGCTTTGATGGGCCATGGACAAGGGCAGGAGGCGTGGGAACTGGGCCACTGGACGGACGGTTTGCTTTGGTCTTGTCATTACCGGCCCAAGCAAACGCCCATCACAGCCCAAGAAAACCAAGAAAGCAGTTTCGAACTTTGGCAGAACGGTTATGCAACGTGAATCTTCAGGAATGGAACATGCCGGTGTTTTGTTGGTTAATCCTTTCCATCCATGACAAACTGTTGGCCGGCAGGGATACGCGCGCACACATGACGAAGTTTCCGTGTATACGATGTCGCGCGCGGCTGAAATTGTTTGGGTTTTGACCTGCGTTGCGTGCGTGCGTGTGTCGTGGGGCGGCGATCGATGATAGATGTACCGTGAGGACGCCATCCATCAAACAAATCAAGAAGAAGAAAGACATCCCTTTGCATGCAAATTAAAGTATCCGCGCCCCTTTTATGCTAGCTGGAGCAAAAGCGGAAGCGAATTCATCATGCGTGCATGATGAACCGTAGCTGCGTTGCTAGATGCCGTGCCTGCCGATTTTGTGCTCTAGGTGGTTCTCTGATGTTTAAGCATCAGCTTGAATTCTGAACAAACAAATCCGTGCGGAGTTCAAGAAATGACTTAATTAGAAAACCTCTTTGGAGCACCCAGATTTTTTTTAAAGAAGCTAGTCTAGATTTATTGCATTGACATAGATAGCATGCATGGCTTCTCCTAGCTTGCTTAATTGCAGTGGTTCACTCAACATTTTATTTTTTCGAACGAACGTTCACTCAACACTTAATGTTACGATAATCTGTTACTTGTATGGGGCTCAAACTGTTCTCATTTTGTCAAAAGAAAAAAAAAACTCTTTTGTTTGGTCTGTTCATGCATGGTTAATTTGCAGGCTGCAAATTTGCCTGGTAATTAATTTGTCGAAAATGGTTAATGCATCATGTTCCACACCACTTGATGCATCGGCCAATCGATCGACCAGGTCGTACTAACCAGTCCACAACATGATTAACCTGGGCCGGCCTCTAGATTATGCTAACATTTTGAACAAGTGGATGTACTCTGTGCCTATCAAAACAAGTAATTCGATCAACATTATCCATTTTAACGAGTGCAAGCGGCGCTACCCGGAATCCGGATGCGCGCAGGTAGCTTGCAACACCGAAAAGGCCACGTACATGCACGTGATGAGCTCCGTTTCCCCCATATAAGCGATACACGCATCATCATCATCATCATCATCATCCGTACAAAACGGTATCTAGCCTAGCTAGCTGATCGGCCCACCTACAAAGCCTATAAATTGCGCCATCTTTGCTCATCCTTTCCATTATCATTGCGACGTACTAATTTAATATAAGTATAGAGCTTCATCATTTGACAAACAACAATGGCTAGGTTCGCGGGATCCCTTCAGCTGTACTGCCTCTCCGTCCTGCTCGTGATCCTCACCCAGCTTGGAGGAGGCTCTGCCATGGGGCTCCCCCGGCCGCCACCCAACGTGAACTTCACCATCGGCGTCGAGGGCGCTGTCTGGTGCAAGACCTGCCGCTACGCCGGCTACGTCAAGTCCAAGGACGCCTCGCCCCTCCCAAGTATAGTACTCGTACCACCACCACCACCACCACCCACCTGCGCTCGATGGCCTCGTTTTGGCCGCTGAAAAATAACGTGTGCTTTTTGCTGCGTGCGTGCGCAGATGCGGCGGCGCTGCTGCGGTGCAGGCGGGGGAAGTGGGCGCTGTCGGTGTGGGGCGCGACGGACGCGCGCGGCTACTTCCTGATCCAGACGGGGACGCAGGTGGCGGCGTTCACGAGCAAGGACTGCAGGGTGTACGTGCCGCGGTCGCCGTCGCGTGCGGCGTGCGGCGTGGCGCTCCAGCCTGGGCGGAAGACGGGTTCGCCGCTCAAGTTCCGCAGGTTCGTGGCGCTCCCCGACGGGCTGCAAGGGCGCTACTCCGCCGGCAACTTCGTCTTCGGCCCGCGAGACCCCAAGAAATGCTGACTTTCTGATTAGCGGTAACGTGTTTGGGACTTTGGGGCTGGGGGTGGTGTGGCTGTGCACTTCGAATTCTACAACTTGGTCACAGTTTGTGTGTGGCGTGTGCCCGGTGGATCGACGTGGACGTGCATTTCCGCATCCAGCAAATAATGATGATAAAAAAGTGTTGGACGTAGCCCCAGACCTAGTGTGTTGTGTTTAGTTCCTTTCAAACTTTCAAAAATTTCATCGTATCAAATGTTTCAATATATGCAGGGAACATTAAATGTGTACGAAAATAACCAATGTGGTTCTTAAAAAGAAATAAGGGAAACGATCAATTGAAAGGGCACTAAAAGTTCATATTTCAAAACAAGAATAGCAATGACTGAAGCTTGGATTGATTGCCTATATAAGTATACCTCAAACCAATGATGTACAAAACCCCTCTTGGATCCCCTGCGTCACAAATACTTTCCCTATTTATGCTACGTTTTCTATCTAATCCTATGCTAACTCTGGTACAGCTACCACTCTGTCCTATCAACCTCCTAACTCCAACTCTAATAAAGTTACATCGCGCCCTATAGACCTCTCTGCATTTGAAGGCAAACTTCCAATGCACTATGCTAGCCCCGGGCACGCGCATTCCCTTGGGTGTCAAGTCAGTTCATTTCTATTGGAAACTGGACGCGCACAAGCTGCCCATTTGTGCACGGTCAGTCCATTTCTAAGATTTTAATGTTCCCGCTGGAATTAGCAGAAAGAAGCGTTGAGGACTGCCCTCTCCAACACACGCATGAAATGAACTGTGATGGATCGTCAATCTCCTGGCCTGATATTGGGTCTGTGACACTGAATTTATATGCCAAGACTGGCATTGGAAATGCTTTGTGGTAGACAAAAACCTGAAGTAAAACGAGATGGAAAGGAAAGTTAGATATTTGAATTAATATTAAACCCCAAGCAAGAATATACAGGCACGTATGGTATAAAAAATAATTTCTATGCCTATGTTTTCAATACCAAATTTCATCTTACGGCACAAAATACCTTGCGCACTAAGGTAAGTGAGCCAAAATATTCCTTCACATGAATTCGGCAAACATTAATTCAACTGTTACATAGAAAATGCAGGTTACAAAACAAAAAAAAAAATCATTTTCCATGACGCTCTCATCTTAATACCTGATTTCTTTCATCTCAATATTGGTTTCTGAGAGATGCATGGAATTGAAATTTAAGCACAAAGGCATGCAAAGAAATGGCCAAACTATCTATCAATAATAAACAGCAGCATGCTTGCAACAAAGTTTACTGCATTAGGGCAACTCCAATGATTAGCTTTGCACAAAAGCTGGTGTCGCTGTATGACATTGAAATTAACCTTCAAATAGTCGGCAGAGAATTTGGTGGAAACTTAGAAAACATACCTCATTTGTCTCTGAGCCAGTAGCAATGTAACCATCAGATATAGAAAGTCCAACAAAATTCTGTTCAACAGGTTCAAGAAATAACTAAATTAAGCATAAAACAAAGTATTCTTTTGCCTGAAAGCAACTAAAGGAATATGAAGAAAGGGCTATACTAGAATCTTAATCTCGAAAATCAAGTGTCATTCTCAAAAAAGCAGGCAAGTGGCCTTAATCATATCTTTCTAGCCAGCCCAGACAGTGTTTAGGTGCTCGGTGAACCCGCCCGCCTAACCATTTGGCCACTTATCAATGATTAGGCACTAGAGGATGCCCTGCTGCTCCCTCAACTACCACCTAGTACCTTGGTAAACACATTTTGCTTGGGGTACTACCACCTATAAGGCATGTTGAAATTTTTAATACTACCGAAGTTGGAGAGCAAATTTTGTGCAGGTGCACAAGAACTAATTAGGGATTACACTGAAGCTTTATGACATGTAATTCAAAGACTGAACATATATAACAACAACATGCTGAGGGAAAAAGGTGGTAACTAGGTGCACAGAAAACTGACAAAATGAATAACAATTTAGGGTTGTGCAAAAGCTACATTTACACAGGATGATTGTTATATTAGATAAAAAAGAACCATATCCAGAACAATACCCCGAGAAAGGTTTATGCACCGTAACAAAAAAGGTATGCAGGATATTCTAACCTTAGTGTTTGTATGACCTGTAAATGTCCGAAGCGGACTGTCAATTATCCTTGCCTGACTCATGGACAAGTCCCAGAGCTTCAAGGAGTTGTCAGTAGATGCGGACACTATAGTTGATGCATCCACATACTTAACATAGCTAACTGTTTTTGTGTGGCCAACTAACGTACAATAAGGAGCTCGTATGTTTCGAAGATCATAGCAGTAAATTTTGTGATCTGCTGATCCAATTGCAATGGAACGAGCAGAATCAGGTTGAAACTGCACAGAGCATACATTTGCTCTTGTTCTGATAGTGCCAACACTCCCAGCCTGCAAAGTTCATGAAAAAGTGTTACCATAGCAGAGGCAAGTTAGTCTACTATTGCAGACATAAGCTCGATAACCATGTTATCGGTAGTTCAAAAGCTGACATACACCAGGTGCAAGAATAAAATTGCCTGATTCATATTCCACAGCTTCACTGAACCATCATCACTCCCGCTAACCAATTTTGTTGGGTCCGCAAGTGAGAAGTCCACCGACCACACACGCCTCTCATGTTCCCTCATTTCAACAAAAACTTGGCTCCTAGTAACATCCCAAACCTGAAAAAAGGGGGATATTTAATAATGGCCATTTCATCAAATGCAAATCTGAAAAATGTTCCTTAGAAGTGAGCATACCTGTACAATACCTTCAAAGTCGCTAGATGCTATATGGCTCTTCATGTAGCTGTTCCAGCAAATACAACTTAATTTTGATCTATTAGACATCTCAACCACAGGATAGTGAATATCACAATGTTCATTTACAATCATATTATATTCAAACACTTTTATCTTCTTATTTACACCAGCAGTTGCAAAGAACTCTTTATCCCGGTCGAAGCCTACAGAGCATACTAAGTTTGATGAGTTCAGCAGATCACATTGCTTCAGTTCTGCCTTAACTTTCAACTTACTGAACGATAAGTAACTACACAATCCCTCAAGAAAAGAGTTCATCCAACCTCTTTGCCTTGTACCATAATGCCCTTCCAAAGCAAAATCATCTATTGAACTTCCCTCAGTCACAACAGGTGACCCAGTAGTCCTTTTCACGACTTGATGGCAACTGCTTACAGGATTCCCAACTTGCTTTGCCAACTTGGATCTTGTGAGAAAGTATGCTGTTTCAAGTTTTTTGAAGTTCTTCATCAGTCTGGAGCTTTTAGACAACACACTTTCCTGGATCAGCACAGATGATGGAACTGTTCCCGAACATTCTTCAAGACTACGATTCTGTTCCTCCATATCAACAGCTGGTAGCTCAGGTCGGAAACGTTTTCTGGATCCACAATCACTCTGATCTTCAACTGTTTCAGAGCACACCTCTTTATCCAACTCAAATGAGAAGTTTCCACACTGCCCCAGAGCTGACTGCTGGTGCGCTTCATTGATGTCAGAAGAGAGAAATGCAACTGTGTCCTGCAAATTGTCTGCTATATCTTGCTTTCTTCTCTGTAGTTGGAGAAGAAAATCCAGCAGTAATTCTTGTTCTTCTATCTCTTCGCGTAACCGAAGTGCTGCTTCACGCTCCTCCAGACTATTTCTTGACCGATTAAGGAACTCACTTTGTAGCACATCACTGTCAAACAAAAAGAAGAATACAGCCTCACCCACTGGGAAAAAAGAAGAAGGGCTTTTTATGGTTTTCATAATTAACCTACCAGTCCACAACTTAACTAAATGTTGTCGCGTTCTTAAAACAAATCCTAACTTAAATTCAGCAAAAGAAAGGGAGTATCAAGAAACATGACATATTGACATGAATGGCAATTGGCAATTAGTGGCACTTCTTTTGTTACTTCAGAAAATTAGTGGTGTCGTGTGCAAAAAAAAAAAATCCAAACAAATGAATACATTGCATATATAAAAAGAGGGACAGAACCATGCAGGCACATACTTCAATTGTAACAAAGCTAATTTCTTTTATGTAATTAAAAATGAAGTACAAGTACCCATGAAGCTATGATTCTTGAGTATTTAAAATTGGATTAACATGTTCAGATCGTGCAATCGCATGCGTGCTTGGCTAGTTATTTTATCCTTTTCTATTATTACATAAGTTTTCACATGCATTACCAATCTAGACTTGATCTAATGACAGTGCTAGTGAATATTACAGAGCATTGCATCTGCTGAGATATATACTTAGTCATTTACAGATAACCTTCCCTAGCTCCTTGCCAGCAGTAATGGCCTAATCCTTATTCCCTTTTTATCAGACCAAAATATCATAATAGTTTTATCATGCAGTGTACGATCTTAAGCTATCTTCACTAGTAGGAAACAAATGCAGTGCCAACTTGTCGGAGAAGTATACTAGTAGGAATAATAAAGTACTACTTCCTGCTGCCCAAAACGAGAAACATACAGCTTCTAGTTCTAGTGTTAATTTTATCGCGCATATGGGCAGATGACACACGCACCTCATCTTCGGTCGGGTCTCCGGCACAGGGTGCATCAACAACTGACAGAATGATGCTTCCTTGGGCCACTTGAGCAGCAGCTGTGGAGGCAAGACGCGGTGCCGTAGGTTCGCCATTGCTCGCATCTTCTCCTCCATCGTCTCGAACGTACAGAACAACTGAAACAACAGCCGTAGACATAAAATCAGCGATGAGCTGAGCCGATGACAAGCAGTGCATGCGGAGAACTAACAGCGCATTTGATCTCAAGCACCCGCACCTCGAACAAGAGCACTCCTAACCTATACACGTCGGAGGCGAAAGTAGCGCCGCCGCGGTCGTCGGCCTCCTCGGGGCTGGTGTACCAGGTGAGCTCCATCGCCAGCACGCTCCTCAGCGGGAACGTCTTCCCGCCGCGGTCCTCCCCACCGCTGGCGCCGTCCCGTCGCCGCCGAGGAGGCGAGGGTTCCGGGTCGGCCTCCTCCGAGCCGTCGGAGCCGGAGCAGGAGCCCGAGACGTCGGAGCCGGAGGCGGACTCGATGAACGCGACGCGGGCGAAGGGCGGCGACACGACGAAGCAGGAAGGGCGCGCGCTGCCGACGGCCACCCCCTGCGCGTGCGCGATGGCCACCGACTCCGCCACCTGGCGGAACACGTGCAGGCACTCCGGCGCCTCCACCGCCCGCCCTGGCCGGTCCAGCCACTCCCGCAGGCTCACCTCACCCCCGTCCTCCCCGCCTCTCCTCCCTCCACCACCACCACCACCTCCTGTTCCTCCTCCTCCTCCTCCTCCTCCTCCTCCTCCTCCGCGTCGTCCACCCTCCTCCCCTTCCCCCCACCGCCGCCCGCCCGCGACGGCGTCGACACGGGAGCCCTCCATACCCGCCGCGCACCCACCCACCCACCCAACCCACCCAGGCTACCCCATGGCCAGATCACCTCCGATTCGGCGCGCCCTCCGCCTCCACCCGCTGCTGCCGAGACCCCATCCAGGCTCCGAATGGCAGAGCAAAGCACTCCACTCCAAGCAAGGAGATAAGGATCTGGAGAGCCGCGGCAGCGACCTGACCTGAACCCCTGAACTTGGTGGCAAGAGGGAGACGAGGCGACGCGAGAGGAACACAGTAGCGGCGAGCAGCGAGCCACACAAACCCGCTTTAAAATCGCGGGGCCTTCGCTGCTTTAATTTCTCGCCCAGCTTCGGTAGCCGCCTCCCAGCCGCACAAACCCCCTCCCCGCCACACCACCACACCTTACCCTCGAACCGAGCAAGCAGCACAGACAGCACAGGTTACTAGTAGTTCCAACTCTTCAATGCACAGCGACCAGCAAAGCTCTCCCCTGAAAACTGCCTAGCTACCGCCACAGCCCACAGACCACACTGCTCCTCTGCTCCTACTATGCACCAAAACTCACCGGAAAGCTCCAAAAGCGCGCGCGGAGAGATATAGACGACACGAAACAACGACTCTTGACGCCACATACAACACGTCCCCCCCTTGCTCATCATCACCACGGGAAAGAAAAGGGAGGAGAAGGCGATGGAGTAGGCGCGGCCACTGGCCACCAGCTAGTGCACGCCGCTACCACACCACACACGCCATTATGCTAGCTACTTCTCCCTTCTCCGGCGGTACACCTTCATTCATTTCATTTTAAATACAGTCGTGAATTTTCGTGTTTAATGTTTAATTATTTTTTTATTTAAATATTTTATAGAAAATATAAAAATAACCATATATAAAATATTGTTCATGTTTTATCGTTAAATAAAAGGACTACCCTGTTGCCAGTATTCAACACTCGCAGGCGATTCCGAAGAAGATTTGCGCCGAACACGAGGGCGGAAAAAACGAAAGCATCGCGGAGTAAAAAATAACAGCTGAGCTGACCCGAATGACGTGGAGCTACCAATAATGGAAACGGCCGGGCCGCCGAAGACACGGAGACCCGGACGCCCGTCTGTTGACCGCCCACCGTCGATGACAGCTCGGCCCGCGCCTCCAGGGTGGCCCACTTGTCAGTGACCTTCTAGCACCTCGTTGCGCGTGAGAAACCAGCGGGGTAGGAGCGGATTAGGAAAGCCGCTTGGTTTATCCAAGAGAGTGGCGACTTGCTGGCCTTTTTGTTTAATAACCACTCACTCCGGCGTGTACGGGGTGCAGCATTAGTGTTGATTAGCCAGCGGAGTGTTGAAACCCAACTTAAATTACCCATCGATCGGGTGACGGGTCACTGTCGGTGGGGCCGGCGTAACGCACGCCACTCATGGGCCCACCTGTCAGGGAGCGCTGGGCCGGCGAGCAGCTAGCGCGCGCCTTTCGGACTCGTCTTCGCAGCGGGATACGTGGCGCGACGGGGGCCGCACGTCAGGGTTGGGGGCTTCGAGGTGGCTCCCATGCACGAGCCACGTATCTACGTTTAAATAAGATAACGTACGGTTTAAAATATGGCGTGCAGGGGAGCAGATGAACAGGGCATTCGGCGTGAGTTCTTCGAGCTCGTGGGTTCATGTACCTCACGTACTTACCCTTACCCATGCTCGGGATTAGATTAGTTTAATCGCGATCTTTGACAGAAGGTACTTACTAGTTTAATCTTCTGCCGGCTTATGCAAATTGCTGGGTGACAGGGTGAGTGGACTGGACAGTCAATCATACTGGGTCGTAGTACTGCCCTCCCAGTGGATCGGGCCGGACAGGCCGGCCGGGGCCCGTTGTGCCACGTGAACTGAACAGTGGCGCCGCGCGAGCGGGTCAAAAGGCGGAGCCGAGTAGCCGACTGGCGACGGCCACTGGCTCGGGGAGCAAGCGCATGACACGTCGGCACAAGTGGGGTGGGCGTGTATCGGTGGATGATTTGGGGCTGAGACTTTTCAAAAATGTTGGAACTACGGGGTAACGGAGTAGAATTTAGATCACTCACGTCGGCCCTACAAGGGAGAGCGATGCAGCGTTGGATCTGAATTAGATCACCAGGCCACCAGGGTCCGCACAAGACAGCAGGGGGAAATGGGGGCCCAAGCAATTTCATGATCTTCTTTTTTTTTTTTTTTGGAGATCTTCTATGGACATTAACAGTGATAGAAATCATACTAGGATTACATTGTACATTAACAGTGTTACGTAAAATATTACTCCCTCCGTCCCAAAATATAAGTATTTATAAGTATTTTTAGACTCTGACAGTCTCCAAGATGCTACTTTAACTAACAATATCTAAAAATAAGATATTTTAAATAGAAAGAATTATATATTATGATAGTTTGTTTAATAATAAATCTAGTAACATCAATTGTACATGATTGATATTTGTTACTTTTTTTTGCTATTAATAGTTAAAGTTAAAAATGTTTGACTCGTCACAATGCTAAAAATGTTTATATTTTGGGACGGATGGAGCACTACTTAGGGAGGATATCTGATGCTCTACCGGATAACTCCAGATCCCTCCAGGTTAATAATACTTGTCGTGTTGGATAAGTATACACGGTTTTAAAAAAATATCAATCATTTTATTAAGTATTTTGTAGACTAATCCATACATATAATCTTTAGATTTAAGACAAATATTTTATAAATTATTTGTGATTGAAAGATTTTAAAATTTAGCCTTAGTCTTGTCCAAAACAATAAGTATTATTAACTTGGAAAGAGTAGTACCCAAGCACCTAAAACTCACTCTTGAGACATGGAAAATTTTGAATAAAAGTTAATAACATGCATCTACAATAGCACGAAATTTCCAATCCAAGTTTTATTTGCATGTCGAGAACGCCTGAATTGATTCACTTGAAGATTTAACATCGAAAAGCATTGCCGATTTATCTAGGCTTAGACTGTCTCCAACAAGTGACCCATAAGGGCACCTAAACCCAAAATGGGTCTCCGATAGTACTATTTTAGCCTCCAACAGAGTACCTATACAGAAGACCCATTTTGCGTGCTATAAGAGGCATAACCTAAATCTGAGTATCCTCTCTCCTGAAAATCTATTTGCAGTAATGGTTCTCTTTTAGGTCTTATTGTTAGAGAAGACCAAAAATAGGTATTGAACTCTTTAACTGTAGCGCTATGCAAACGTGAAATGGGTCTTGTATTTTGGGTTTCATTGTTGGAGATAGCCTTATAAGTTCCTGCTGTTACACTACCATACCATATTGCACATGTTTGACAACGGATAAATAATATATTTCATGGAAACAAGAAAGGCTACATAATGACGGAGTGACCATAACTGATAAGTTTACCAAAATGGTTAGATTATTTTGTATTATAATTTAACTTTGATAAAACAACAAGCTGGCAGCATCAGAGCTTATTACAATTTTAATGCACAAAATTTGATAGATGCTGCACAACAGGAATTACAATTTGGTGATTAATCATCTAATTTACTGACCTCATGGGGTTTGTCTCCCTGAAGAGAGCGAAACAATGCACTCTTGGACCATTTCCTGGACTCTTCTCTTCAAAAGCTTATCCTTCACACCAGAAAGCATGCTGCGGTAGAAGATCTCCAGGCGATTGAGTTCATCAGTACCTGCTGTATCCAAGATGTTCTCAAATTCCTTTCTAATATCAAAGACAGGAGATTCTTGAAGGGAACGTGGAAGTGTTCGTTCATCTAGAGGTTTACGAAATATTGAAATGTGAAGTATGTTGGCATATCTCTCCATAAGTGTCAGTTTTGACCGAAGAAACTCCAGCTCTTCTGAGGCAGCAGATAGCTTTTGTTCCAACTCAGCGCTATTCCGGTCATTCACTCCCGATGTTGATGCCTGTGCTCTATCCTCATGAATTTCTTGGAAGTTCTCATCAAGAGGAGGCCACATCACAACACATGGTATGTAACTGTCAGCAGTCTGGTTTCTCCCAAGCACACCACTGCGGCCTCTGCCCCAAGCCCACATCCTATACCCATCACCAGCAACAAGAACAGTGTGAGCAGCTCCACAAGTGACCTGCACTGCACCAAGAAATTTGAACCCATTTGTCTCAGGAGACTGAACTCTTATCGGGCGTAGAGCATCCCCTGAATCAACTCCTGAAAAGCTGGCATCAGGGCACAACCCAAGACCTCTCTCCATTCCCCAGCACCAAACCTCTCCATCAGAAGAAACTACAGTTGTATGGAACAATCCACAATCAAGAGAAATAAGGAAGGAACCAGTTGGCAAGCCATCAACAGGTTGAGGAGAGCAAATGGTGGCAGTGGTCCCATGGCCAAGCTGCCCATTATCACCAAGGCCAAACGTCCAGCAACGAGATTCAAGATCCACGTCGAAAGACTTCTTATTGGTAAGGACAGCGGTGTGCCAAGTTCCGCAGGCAATTTCATACACCTCCCAAGAAGATCCTTCGCTAAAAGCTGAGATAAGCACAGGACGGGATCTACTTTCCTTGTCACCTAGACCCAACTGGCCATGGTTGTTATTGCCCCAGGCATAACAAACAAGGTCACCTCCTGTATAGGTCTCTCCAGCACTGACTGCAGCTACGACATGCTCATTACCACAGGCAACCTTAACAACAGTGTGACCATGGAAATCCCACACAGGTAGTGGGACACAGCTAGGTGCTATACAAAACTCTCCAGCATCAGTCTGCTGCGGGCAATTTCCCCACATCCACATAGCTCCCAGAGTGTCTATGGCAAATGACATCATGCCCCCAGCTTTAACAGAAGACAACTGCAACAAAACATACAGCAGGATTGGTTAAGCACAAAGATGAACTTTTAAGTAGTATTACAAGTTTGCAGCTTTGGTTGTTCTTATAAGAAAGGGTGATCTATTTGTACCTTCAATGAAGACTGTGTGCTACTGTTCTGTGCTTCAGACTGCAGCGTTTCAGGTGAACCCAAATCTTGAAAACGCTCAACCAAACATGGGAAAAGAGAATTCTCTTCCCCGTAGCCAAGCTGACCATCCGTTAAATAGTCAAGAAAGAACATAACAGGCGCTGACTTGGATATTAGTAGAATGGTTTCAAGTCGCCAAAGCTCAAATTACATAAACTTTGTGAAGGATACAGATGTTGTAACCCCATGACCAGAGCGAACCTTCATCTGCAATGTTGGACAATATTCAGAACAAAGCTTATATGTATTAATTACATATAGGTAACGCATTTGATTAACATTTTGGCTAAGAAACCATTTACAGTTAAAACTAGTAACCTGAAGGAAAATTATGTATTATTTTTTCTTACTGAACTCTTAGTAACACTGATGTCTAGATTTTCTTTAACTTCCATCTAGTTAAATCAAACAGTTGAGATCATTGTTTGTAAGAGTTTTGCTTTGATCTAAACTGAACTATTCATTTGCCCATTATTTGCCATTGATGTCACAACGACATGTGAGCTATATGTTAGTTTGTTTTAGATAAGGCCATAAGGGAAGTGACAAGCTCCCAGCCTTTGCATCATCTAAGGATGCACACAGCCATTACATCACCAAATGCTAAGCAATTATATAAGTTAGTGAAATAATGAGTCTCGAAGGGATTGGGCAAATTCAATGCTATACAGTATGGGAAAGCGTAATAAAATACAGTGTTCTTTGCAATGAACAATTTGTCGATTTCACTTATTAAGCAGTTCAACCATTCCAAGCAAATTCAGGGGAAAACTCATACCATATCAAAAAGGCCCGTAGTAACAGCACAAAAATTCAAGGGAACGGAAATGTTCGCATGGTCTGTGCATATTGTACAGGAATAACCCCACATACCAAATGCTCGTCAGGGATCAGGACCATAGGAGCCGCAAAGTACAGCACCGGTGAATCTAATCTACTCTCTCCGTTTCAGGTTATAAGACGTTTTGACTTTGGTCAAAGTCAAATTGTTTTAAGTTTGACTAAGCTTGTAGAAAAAAATAATAGCATTTTTAACCCAAAACAAATTTATTATGAAAATATATTCAAATATTGATTTAATAAAACTAATTTGGTATTGTAAACATTACTATATTTGTCTATAAACCTAGTCAAACTTAAATTAATTTGACTTTGACCAAAATCAAAACGTTTTATAACCTAATTTCAGAGAGAGTAACTACCAGTAGATTGCACTAGAAAATTATGCACGCATTGGGCATTTGGGCCACAGCAACTCAGTAAACTAAAATTCAAGTTACCAGTGGCTAGTCGGTTACTCGGGTGGGCGCTCTCCACAAACCGCAAATCATAATTCTGCAACTACTTCAGTACTTTCAAACTACAGTTGCCTACACAGCCGCACAGAATGCTATCACGAAGCGAATGAAAGCAAAAGCACTAACCGTCCAGCGCAAGGCTGTGGTAGGCGCCGGATGCGACGGCCACGAACCTGGGCCGCGGCCTCCCGCCGGCGGCGACCACGGTGGGCACGTGCTCGTCGGCCTCGCGCCCGGTCCCGAGGCGGCCGAACATGCCCCGTCCCCACGAGTACACCTCACCGTCACCTGCAACGCACGCACGCCCAGCAAAACCCACAAAAGCCACGCTCTCAGATCCCGAATCCCGCCGATGCCTCGATAATTCGCCCCGGGAGCAAAGCGAGCGCCGTTACCGGTGAGGGCGAGCGTGTGGGCCTCGCCGGCGGCCACGGCGACCACCTTGGGCGGCATCTGCGGCGGCAGCGGGGAGCAGCGGTGGAGTGGACGAGAGGGCAGATGAGGAGGAGTGGGAGGAAGAGGAGGGCACGAGTACAACTGGAGGCATTACCGCGAGAGCAAGGCAGTAAAATGAGCAGCGGAAGCGAAGGCGATAAGGACTCGAGCGAGTCGGTGTGCAGCACGGCAAGTCACCGCTTGCGGAGGAGCTCGTCGACGTCGACATTGACTTCATCCCGCTTTTCCCCCAAGAATGATCCGGGAGATGGCTTTGGGACGCGTGTCGCGGCGCTGCATCACCGGAAAAAGAGGTGGTTGGAACTTAGAATTGGCAGGTGTGCTGCTGATGGTGCGAGTCGCTAGTGAGATTTGGACAAGTTTGGGGAGTACATTACTCCTGTGGATGTAGAGTTGTAGACACTGGCAACCAATTCAGATATCTGATGAACTACTACACATTCTGCATCTAGGAAATGTTGTGCATTGCAGCGAGAGGGGATTCCTTTGTACAAGCAGCAAACGTCATATGTTCTACTAAGTTCTAACACATTTTGGGTTCAGTTGATTATCTCACATACCCACGGTGCAAGTACATACAGCACCCTGCACCCTGATGGTTCCACAAAGGAAAAGGAATTACGACCTTCTCAAACTCTCACATATTTGACAGCCAGATGACATCGATCACAGCAGATGCCGCAAGGAAGATGCAACTGAGAAAGGCACACGCGATGGAGGCCGCTGACAAGTCGCAGAAACGTGGCAGTGGCTTGCAGAAGTTGGGGAGCGCCGTGTGCCGGATGCCGGTGCGGTTCAGATTCGCGACTGCCGCCGCTGCTGATCCAGCACTCATCATTGCATATGCGAAGATCTGCACGCGAATGAAAAACAGCAGAAGTTAGATGTTAATCTTGCATTCCACGGGAAATGTCAGGCCAAAGCCAAATGTTCAGCTGCTATTTGTTGAACTAAAGAAAGTTGTGGGGTTGCAATGGGAATGGAAAGTAAAGCAGCTTAATGACAAAGAGTTTTTAATCAACTTTCCATCGGATGATGTGAGAAGTAAAATATCCACTTGCAAGAGCTTTGATTTTGAGACCTCTCTAATCAAGGCTAGTGTGGTGGAGACAGGTATGACAGAAGAGGCTGTTGATGAGCTAGTTGCTGTTTGGGTCAAAGTATATGGCATACCAAAGATTGCTAGGAATGAGGATGCTATTAAGTCCATTGCTGAGTTGGTGGGGGAATTTGAAGCTCTAGATGGTGCTAGTATCAGAAGAGATGGTCCAATCAGAGTGAGAGTTGCTTGTAAGGACCCTAGGGAATTACACTTCGGGATGCATGTCTATATCAACAAAGTGGGATACTTAATCAGATGGGAGCCAGAAGGGTATTCGTCTATTGAGAATAGACCAATTCACCCTGATGACGATGACAAAGATGACAAAGACGAGAATGACGGCAATGAAGACATGAATGTTGATGAGGATTACAAGATGCAAAGCCCTACTAGAGGTAGACAGAACCAGAATACAGGTGCTTCATCAAGGGGTGGACACTCTGCGCCACCTGCTTACAAAGGCAAGGAATATAAGAGTGGTTATGTCAAGAAGATTGCCTCTAAGAAAACCTCTACTATCTCATCCTCAGAACTGGTTTTGGAGAAAGAAAAAAAGAAAGAGTTAGTGTCACTACAGCAGGAACCAAAGCACACAGAGTCAACTGAGCTGGTGTTGTGGGAGAAAAAGATGGAGATAGTCCCTATGGAACAAGAATCCCAGGAAATTGACTTCTCTCTATCTGCTCCTCTGCACTCTCAAGAGAAGGAGTTTTCTGGGAAGATTGATGCTGCTTTGTGGGATGATGAGTTGGAGAAATGTGCAATACCTACTGATTCAGATATAGAAAGACTAAGAGAGGAAGAAGACAAGGAGGAAGAAATCAGTTTTCAAGAGGTTTCACACAGAAAGAAAGGGAAGAGCAAATCAACAGAACCTGCAATCTCATCTAGGATGAGCCTCAGGAATAGAGAGATGGCAACCATTCCAGTCACTAAGAGAGCTGAGATCCTAACACAGAAGAAGAACTTGGAGAGTCCGGCTCAGGTGCAGGGAACCCTGCACATAGTAATATACAAGCCAAATCAAATCGCGACACCTGTCCAGGGTGGCCCTACTTAATTACGCATGCAACGGAGGTTTAACGAGGACTAAACGGGTGAATGGTTCTGTTACCTGATTTTGTGGGATCGTGGTTAAACCTCCGTTTACATTGTTACTTGGTTGATTGGGTGGACCTACCTTGTGTACAGGTGTCGCGATTTGATTTGGCCTGTATATTACTATGTGCAGGGTTCCCTGCACCTGAGCCGGACTCGAACTTGGAGACACCAGGTAACAACTCAAATCCTTTTGCAATTTTCCAACTTATTGATGCAGCTGAGTTGAATGCTATAGCGGTAGCTGCTAATATTAATCTAGGTAATAGTGATGCTGAAATAAATTCTAACATTGAGACATTTAGAGCTAAGGAGTTAGTGCAGGCCTCTCTAGCTGCAGCCAGATGGAAAATAGAATCTGAGGAAAAAGAGTTGAAAGAGAAACAGTTAGAGGAGATGGTCAATAAAGAGATATCACAAATAGAGGAGAACCCTGATGAGGTTCCTGCGCATAAGAAGAGAGATGGTACCAAAAAAACAAAGAAAAAATGAAAATTCTTTTTTGGAATGCAAGAAGGTTAGGGGGCAAACCTAGGAAAAGACAGCTGAAAGAGTTGATATATGAGAGGGGTCTCGATATTGTTTGCATACAAGAGACTAAGAAAGAGAGTTTTAATAGTAGAGAGCTGAATTCTTACCAAGGGGCAAAAGAGTTCTTTTGGTGCTGGAAAGCATCCAGAGGGGCGTCAGGAGGTATTCTTATAGGAGTTAATCAAGAGGTTGCAGAGGTTACTAATACACATGTAGGGGCTTATTTCCTGAGTTGTGAGATAAAATGCAAGAGAGATAATGAATCCTGGGAAGTGATTTCTGTTTATGGTCCAGTTGACAACAGTTTGAGAGAGAGTTTTCTAGAGGAGTTAAATTGGCATTTACAATTCAGACAGCTCCCTGTGGTTGTAGGAGGAGATTTTAACTTGTATAGATTTGCTAGTGAGAAATCAAACAATAACTTAGATTTTAGGTCCATGGAGAAGTTTAATTCTTTCATTGCTAACTTAGAATTAAGAGAGCTGTTTAGAAGTGGTCCCACATTTACATGGACTAACAAACAAGAGATTCCTGTTCAAGTGGTCTTAGATAGAGTACTGGTCAGCACAGATTGGGATGACAAGTTCCCTACCTCTCTTCTTTCCTCTATCTTGAGAGTTGGTTCTGATCACACCCCACTCCTTTTAGATACTAATGAGCTAGATGTGAAGGGGTGTAGTTATTTCAAATTTGAGTCAGCATGGCTGATCCAAGAAAACTTTGTGGAGATGGTGAGATTGAAGATGACCCCCAGAGATGACTCTTACATTTTAGAATACTGGAACAAAAAACTGGTTCCTCTGAGGAGATTTTTAAAAGGCTGGTGGATAAATGTACAAAGAGATGCTAGGATTAAGAAGGTAGTGCTGAAAAATCAGTTAGAAGAATGGGACTTGCAGGCTGAACAAAGAGATTTGTCATGTGAAGAATGGAATGAGAGATATGCAAAAGAGACTGAACTTGAACATATATATGAGTTGGAGGAGCTCTTATGGCATAAAAGAGGTGGAGGCCAATGGCTACTGGAGGGAGATAGAAACACGGAATTTTTCCACAGAGTTGCTAATGGTAGAAGAAGGAAATGCACTATTGTTTCATTAGAAGAGGATGGACGCTTGATAACTAATAAAGATGAACTCTCTGATCACATTGTGGGTTACTATAAAGAGCTGTTTAGAGCTGATACTCCATCTAACATACACTTATCTCAAGGGGTTTGGGAGGAGAGTTTTTCACTTACTAATGATGAGAAGCTAAATCTCATCAGACCTTTTACTAGAGTAGAGCTGGACAAAGTGATCAGAGAAGCCAAGACTAATACTGCACCTGGCCCTGATGGGTTCAATGTACACTTTTATAGAACCTTTTGGGCTGAAGTGAGAGAGGACTTATTTGAGATGCTCATTCTCCTCTACAATGGGGAACTTGATCTAAAGAGATTGAACTTTGGTGTGATATCTTTGATTCCCAAGAAAAGTGACCCTTCTGACATTAGACACTTCAGACATATATGTGTGCTGAATGACTGTTTTAAATTCATTAGTAAAGTGGTTACTAATAGATTCACAGAGGTGGCCAACTCCGTGATCTCACCCACACAGACAGCTTTCATTCCAGGAAGGTTTATTTTGGAGGGATGTGTGATTGTTCATGAGGTGCTGCATGAGTTAAAACTTAGGAGCGATAAAGGGATCATTTGGAAACTAGATTTTGAGAAAGCGTATGATAGAGTGTCCTGGAATTTCCTCTTTGAAGTCATGGAGAGGAAGGGTTTCCCAGATAGATGGCTGAAATGGGTGGAAGCTTGTGTCACTGGGGGTAAAGTGTGTGTCAACATAAATGGGGAGAGAAGTAATTTTTTTAGAACGTATAGGGGTTTGAGACAGGGGGATCCCCTCTCCCCATTGCTGTTTAATATGGTTAGTGATGCTCTGGCAGTTATGCTTGACAAAGCTAAAGGTAATGGTGTTTTGACTGGTTTAGTCCCTGAAATCTTTCCTGGGGGTATCACTCACCTACAATATGCTGATGATACTGTGGTGTTTATTCCTTTTGATGAAAATCAAATCCTAGCAACTAAATTTATCTTATACTGTTTTGAGGATATGGCTGGTATGAAAATCAATTACCATAAAAGCGAGGTGTTCACTGTGGGGTTGGAAAAAGAGGAAACAGATAGAGTTGCGCTCAGATGTTGAACTGCCCTGTAGGTGCTTTTCCCATGAAATACCTGGCCCTTCCAATTAGCCCAGAAAAATTCTTAACCATGATTTTGATTTTCTGGGACATAAATTGGAAAAGAGATTGGGAACTTGGGAAGCAAATACACTTTCATATGCTGGCAGAGCTATCCAAATTAATGCTTGCTTATCATCCATCCCCTCCTATGCAATGGGCTTCTACCAATTACCTGAAGGTATTCATAAGAGGTTTGACTCTATTAGAGGGAGGTATTACTGGGCTGGAAACAAAAAAAGAGGGAAATACCATATGGTGAAGTGGGATGACATGGCTTTTCCTAAGGATTTTGGTAGGCTAGGATTCACTGAAACCAGGAAGATGAATGCTGCCTTAATTGCTAAATGGATCATGAAACTGGAATCTGAGGACCATAGCCCATGTATAGAGTTGCTGAGGAGGAAGTATTTACAGAATAGTGGGGTGTTTCAAGTTAACCTAGGGGACTGCTCTCAATTTTGGAAGGGGGTTCTCAATTCCAGGAAATGGTTCATGTTGGGGGCTGAATGGAAGCTAGGTAAAGGTGATCATATTTCTTTTTGGCATGATTTTTGGGTTGGGTCATGTCCTCTGAAAGTGAGATTTTATAGGATCTTTGAGATCAGTAACCAACAAGACATTCTGGTTAGAGAGGTGATAAAGGAAGGACATAACTGCTTATCCTTTAGAAGGACTTTTGGTCCAGATGAAGTAGAGGAGTGGAATGAGTTGAGAACTGTTATTTTAAATACTAAGTTGGAAGATAGGCAAGATCTGCTCTGTTGGGGCCTCAATTCAAACAAGAGTTTTACTACGAAATCTATGTATAGAGCTATGTGTTTTAGAGGGATTGTTGATAAGGAGATGGAGAAAATTTGGAAAGCGCCATGTCCAATGAAAATCAAACATTTCTTATGGCTGGCTCACAGAGATCGTATTCAATCTGCTGAACAATTGCAAAAGAAAGGATGGGGGGATGTTAATTGTGGCATGTGTGGAGATTTTGAGTCTACTAATCACATCCTTTTTGTATGCCCTATGGCTCGCTTTGTGTGGTGTTGGTGCAGAGATGTTCTGAACTGGCCTTACCCTCCTAAAAATCTTGATGAGTTTTTTCTCTTATGCAACCACAGCTTTGCATTTATTAATGATAGATTACATATTATGTTGCTGGCTGCCATTTGCTGGTGTTTGTGGCTGACAAGAAACAACATGGTTTTCAGGAAAACCCTGCTTTACTCACCACTAACTTTGCCGTTTCAAATTATTTCTCTGTTGTTGCAGTGGAGGAAACTCTGTCGTGCTGAGGAAGAAGGGAAACTGGAACAATTTGCTGAGAAGATGAAGGAGCTGACCTTTAATCTGAAACCGAGAAGAACTGGAGTAGGGTGAATTAGTTTTTCTGTTGCTTTCCCTTTTGAGTTGTGCTATCCTCCTTTCCAGGCCGGTGTGTGGCCATCTGAACTTGCACTATATTGTAAGCTGGTTTCCCCAGCGCTACCACTTTGGCTTTCAGTAAAAAGCCGGGTCCCTAAGGACCTTTTGTCTAAAAAAAAAAACTAAAGAAAGTTATCATCTTGTAAAGCCTCAACTGCCGAGATTATATTTTACTCCTTGGAACGATGCGTTAGTCTGAGATTGGACAAAAGGTTACACCTAAGAACAATTTTGGAAGCAAACACAAGCTCGAGGACAAAGAAAACTCAAATCCAGTCCTAGCATCTTAGTCCACTGCTATGAATTATGAACACTGATTACATGGTTCGATGTTAGGTGGGGTACATTCGAATTCCCGTAGCCACTTGTATGTGATTTGTGAGATGTTATGATGATAATAAACGATAGTATGTTCCGACAAAATAATACTTCTCTATTTCATATTACAAGACATTTTGACTTTTTTCTAGTCAAACTTTTAAGAGTTTGACCAAGTTTACAGAAACATAGCAATATTATCAACGCAAAATAAATATACTATCAAAATATATCCAATATTAGATTTAATTAAACTAATTTGGTGTTATAGATGTTGCTATATTTTTCTATAAATTTAACCAAACTTAAGAAAAGTTTGATTAAAAATATCAAAGCATCTCTAATATGAAATAGAGGGAGTATGTAAATGCTCGAAACATACGATGCATCGATTTTACCTACAGGACCTATCTCTAACAGGGCCACACTACACAAATACAGTGCTTACTAGGTAGTTCCCCGCGCTTTGCTGTGAGGATTATTAAGCAATTCTCAATATTTACTTTTACAATCAAGCTAAGAGCAAAAAGAAAAAAAAAGAAACATTAGGATTTATCAGTCAAATGATGCCCATGCTTCAGTGTGAAACATATTGACAAGTATATGTTAAATATTTTAAAAGTGATAGATAGATTTGTTAAAATATTATACAAATGATATGAGGGGTGATGATTAGATATGCTTGCATTTTGATTTGTAGAATTAAATAAATTGTAGATCATGTTGTATGCTTGCATGAAACTAAATATGTAATTATTGCTAGTGGGTGATGATGTGGCACAGTTGCATGTTGAGTTTTAGACTTAGGTGGTGTTTGGGAAGGAGGGACTAAACTTTAGTCCCTCTCACAGAAATTTTAGTTCCTATGGGAGGGACTTATGCTTTTGTGAGAGACACTAAAGTGTAGTCCCTCCTTCCCAAACACCACCTTAGTGGGCTTTAACTTTATAGAAAGAATAGATAAGCAAGACGCTTCTAATGGCAGATACTGCACAAGATTTGGACATGGAAGCACAAAATTCCAGTACAACAACATGTCAATCCCTCTGTGCCCACTTTTTGGAAGAAGATTCATATATTACATTTGGTGCCTTAGAAAAAAAAATCCTGAAAGAGCTACGTCACATTTATGCATTTTACCATGGAAAATCCATTCACAAAAACATTAAGTGGAGGTGCCCTCAAGAAATTGTGTAAAATGCTTGAGCTCTGTGTACTCAGGCTCAAGTGCCATCACTCTCATCAGCTATCAACTGACAACTGCTACGAGGTTTTGGAACAAAAGACCATTGTTGTGCATCAAACTTTTTATTTTTGCACAAACTGTGTAGAACCAAAAAAAAAAATCCCAAGAACATTTTCTATAAGAGGTTAGGACCACTATCTTGCACAAATATGGTTGTTTTTCTCTTTGCTTAGTTGCTTGTTAGGTATGGAGTTTGCTTAAGAAGTTCCCGACAGTATTCTGTTCTTGCAAATCCCAGCTCTTTTGGTGCTTAGGGATTTGCTTGGTTTTGGCTCTATCACAACAAAACCACATATTATATATCTGTAGAAGTATTGTTCAAATATTGCAAGTCTGTTTCAAATACGAATCCCACAAAAACACAAGAAATAATTTATCCTAAATGAAGTGATTATATTCCGCATATTTCTTGCATATATTAGGTTATCAAGTTCAATCATCTAGAAAGGATTGCAATTCCATATGTAAGTCCACAACCAGATGCACAAGAATCAGAAAAATTCCAATGATTTCTTATGGCTTGGGGAAAAACAGTAAATCTAAACCAAGTTGCAGAAAGTATTTTGATGTAGCATGCATATGGACGTGGCAAGTTGACAACAAGAAGATTAAATAAACTGTTCCAAGATACCACTTGCCAGCAAGAACTTGCTCATCTTTTATTAGAACTAACCCCAAACACCCAATCAATACTGCCTATACTAGTACTGGTTACTGACTGTTCCATAAAATACAAAGAGGAATCCTGAACGGGTCATTGATGTACCACAAGAAACATGAAAATAAAGAGTATAAAATATGCAATCTAGCAAGCATCACAGCATAAAAAACCAAGGCAACCTATTCGTCATTGCAAAATCAGATCAAAATGGGCAGGAGCAGACCCACCAATTGGGCGAAGTAGGCCAACCCCCATACCTACTCTACCGGTGCCAGCGAACACCCCCTACTCTACCGGTGCCGGCGACCCCCCCATCCTGCGGCCGTGGCAAGCGCCGGTGATTTCAGAGAGTTAAGATCAAGCCAAATGGACAAGCATTGACGAACCTGATCACCAGTAAACAGAAGCCAGGCATAGTTCCTGGATTGAACCACAGGGGCATTCTTCACGGCCTTGTGTGCAGTCAATAAAAGTTGAGCGAGACAGTAGGCAGCTGAAACTGCAGACATCCCAACCAAGTATCTGAAATCCCGAACAACACCATCAGAAAATCAGAACGACTCAGTACTCTGTATGAGCTTAACACATTTCGAAATAGAGCAGCTTTGATACTTACTCTAGGGAATCAGAGAAAGACCAATTGGCATAAAGCGGGATCTCGATGCCGAAGATCTTGAGACTACCCCGCTGCTTGGCAGAGATCATTAGAGCCATTGAGAGCACTGCCATCACCAGGGCAACAGCTCTAGTTGCCACCATGACGACGCCTAGCCGTGGCCATCTTGGTATGGCAGGTCGCTCCAGCACTTCCTTGTTCCCCATCGCTGGGATCTGTATGCCAACCTCCGAGCCATTCCGGCCGTTGCCAATGGAGCCCATCAGTGTTGCTCCTGGTTAAGGCTTTCTGTTGTTCCTAATAGAGGGTTTTGGCTAGGCTGTTCTTATTTTAGCATGGGGATGCAACAGAAGGGGAAGTTGGAGGATTCTAGTGATAACAAGATGTATGCGTAAGAACCCATGTTATACTATCCTCTATGATGCACCCGTGAGTGCTTTCTATACTACTCCCTCCGTTTCGAAAAAAGACAAACCCTAAGTTTCTATGTCAAACTTTAACTGTCCGTCTTATATGAATTTTTTTTATAATTCGTATTTTTATTGTTATTAGATGATAAAACATAATTAATATTTTATGTGTGACTTTTCTTTTAAATTTTTTTATAATTTTTTCAAATAAGACGGACGGTCAAACATTATACACGGAAACCGAGTTTATTTTTTTTATTTTTTTTTATTTTTTTTTGACGGAGGGAGTTACTTGTCTTGACAGCAGTGGGTACCAGGCCATGCTTTGCCAAAAGCTGCACGGCTTTCGAGCTACTCAAGACCTGTGTATTGTTTTTTACTGCGAAGAAAGGATTGCTACTGACGACAGCACTCATCGCTAAGTGCCACGAGAATGCGTAATTTGCTCATTCAAAAGATTATTAGTCTGGAGTAACCAACTAACTACAGTCAAAACAAAATCATGTGGGATTCTGTGGATAGCTACTGTTGTGTGTGCTGCCAAATGCAATGGAAGAGATAGGGGAAGGCAATAGAAGACTGAATATTTTACAGTCAGATGTGGTTTGTTCTCTGAGGTAAAATATGCTTGTCCAAATCTTAACCTAAGATTTATTCTTTTTTTTTTTGCGGGGAACCTAAGATTTATTCAATGTGGACATTTTACTAAAAGATTTAATATCTCACACACTGCAGAATATTCTATTAGTACTAGAATTTGATGGAACATATCTCTAGCAGTGGACAGAAACATAACATATTAATCTAATTTGAGTAAATCAAGTGTTGAAAGAATTGTAAAAAATGATATAGCTGTCATATACAGCATTTGAAACAAGCAGCAAGCGCCTAATGAAGGATAACTGTTATCTGCCACTAGTTAAAAGTATTATTCATGTAACTAATTTTCATTCCATAAAAACCAGCTATATCATGACTATGTCTATATTATCCAAAGGAACTAATCAATTTAACCTACCACACATCTTATGCCAGTAAATTAGACTATCATAATTTTGATGCGCCATCTATACTATCAGCAATTGAAAATGGCACCATAACGACAATAGGCATAAGATTAATTACTTATTGATTTCATAAAATAACATTTGTCTACTAGTTACTGCAAATGAATCAATGAGACAGAACAAACTTCAACTGCAATCCCTTTGTAGATTTATAGGCTACAGCTGACAGACTTCGCCATTTTCCTCATTGTCATCCTCCTCCTCACCCTCTCCACACCACACCAGATCCTGGCAACAGCCTATACGTTTGAAAGCACCACATAAACCCCATCGTTCCATCGCTCGGCCTCTAGGTACTCTCTGCCGCTCACTGCCCAACTCTAACATTCTCATGTCTTTCACATGCACCAAGCAATGTTCCCCATATCACCACATTTGCCTCCATTAGCATTCTTTGCTCCATCAAAGCATGTGCCTCATCCACCTGCCCAACTTTACCAAGCATATCCATCACACATGACACAACCATAGTGTTCAACAGTTAGTACAACTCTGATATCCCCGGGTTCCATCCGCTTCAACAAACTCATCCCCGTATCCACCAACCCTCCATGCATACAAGCAAAGAGCACGGTCATCATTGTCACTATTTGGTGGCACCCTTCCCTCGGCATTTCATCAAACATGTTCACTGCATCCTGCTCCTCACCATGTGTAGCAATCACAGTAATCATGGTTGTCCACAATGAGGCATTCCGACAAGCATACACTCAGAATACTCTTCTTGCAAGATCCACTTGGCATACTGTGAAACCATGTGTGGTTATAGTTCTTTTGTGATGGGAAATTGACAAGTACCGGAAGTGCAAGAAGTGTGTGCGTGGACTAACATTGGCCAGGTTGCAATATCTGTGCCAAGACAACGGTTGTTTGGTTTATGTGTGTGCAGGTGATCGATGTCAATCTTGGTCAACGGCAGATCGGGACTAGACTCAGGGAGGAGTTGAGGTCCAGAACGATCAAGGATGCCGGGTGACAAGATTGGATACAAGGTTGCACAGGGTGGACGGACACCGTGTGAGGAGGTCTTTGCAACGGACTTCGCAAGGTCAAGTGCAAAAGTGCAAGTGCCGGGATTCGCGAAGAAAGCCGACAGAGGAAAGGAGCAAGCAGTGCTACAGTACATATGGTACTGTAGCATGCAGCCAATGAGGAAAGTGCACGTGCATGCACTTGGTTGGAAGACTTGGTCAAGCAAGCTAGCATGCGAGCTGTGCGTGTGTGTGCATTAGCTTGAGCAGTGCATGCATGCACGAGGTGATGTGCATGTGTGCTGTGATTGGTTGGCAGGGAGGCCACCAATCCATCGTGATCATGGGCTCGGCCAGGATGCCACACGGCTGGACCGGACTGGCCCAGTCCAAGATGGAGCAGGACAGCATGATCCAAGCAACGACGGCCCAGCTCGGCAAGCAAGGGCGTCAAGGCAGGAGGTTTCGGCGACGGCGCGCGTGAGGGACACGTGGCAGGCGCGGACTCGACCGCGCGCTCTCACGCGGGAGATCGACTACTCGCGTGACCCACGCCAAATTCGGACGACGCGCAAGGGAGGAGAAGGCGCGCGCGGGAATTGGTGAGGGTGCTCTCCAAGACGACGTGGCGCTTACTGGTTCGATGCGGAGGAGTCCCACGTGGGACCCACGCGGTTTCGCGAGCGCGCGCGGGGCAAGGCACGGTCTTGCGTGGCCGCGTGGCGGTTTCCTGTTGGTGCAAGTGATGAGCACGCGGATCCGCACAGCGTGGGGAGCTCGGATCGACTACGTGGCAGCAATCTGCACTACTTCCTTTGAGTCTAAGGAACAGCGGATGGTTAAGATCAAGTCCAGGGTAGGGTTTCGCCCTATGGGTATTTGAGACAATGTCTTAGGGGTCTTAGGCTATAAATAGAGAGATGGATGCAAGGGTGGAGGTTGCTCCTTTTGTAATCCTTTTGAGATGCTCGGTGAGAGAGTTTCGGTGTGAGTTTGGAGTGTGTTTGCCCGAGAGGCTTTTGTATTAGGATTAGTTTGGAGTGTGTTTGTCCGAGAGATTTTAAGTTTGTGTTAATATTCCTCTGAAGGTGTATGTTTGCTCCTAGTTGAGCGGTTATTTTGCATCACCTATGAATGAAATGATTTGAAGGATTTCGTTTTTGCCTTGTTCATTTAAATTCCGCTTGCAATTTGAACTTTGCGATGATGAGTTTTGCTATCTCCTCCTCACCTCTCTTCTAGTTTCGGGAATTCCTTTTCTCTTCCTCTTCTAGTTTCGGGAATTCCTTCTCGCTTCTTTTCTAGATCCGGCTTCTCTAATAGCCGCGGTTCTAATAAGGATTTTGAGAAATCCAGCTTGATGAGTATTTTCGGGGGCAAGATTTGAATTGCTATATTCACCCCCCCTCCTCTATAGCTGTTCTTGGTCTTTCACATACATATTGACCAATGCATTGGATAGCGTCACGTCAAGGCGTCCTGTCGATGACATTGCAGCACGCACCTATACAACTGCTCCATAAAACGAATATCCCCTACAGAACAGCACGCTGATTGCGACCCTGACCATGGTCAGATCATCTGGCAGCACGAGTATGCCATACCTTCGCAGATCGAGAAACAAGGCCAACGCCTCCCTTGACTCCCCAACTTGAGAGAGACCATGGCGTTCCACGAACCCAGGCCCCGGTGGGGGTTTTCATCGAACACCCTGCATGCGGGATCCAGGTCGAGAGCCTTCGCTTAGTAGCTGATGAGCGCGCTCTCAGTGAGGGGGTGGCGCGCAGCGCGCTAGCCCACCCTTGACGGCGGCGGCGTGTAGTTGTCGGCAAAGGTTGGCGTCTCGGCCTGAGCCGCGGCCTTGAGCGCCAGCGGGAGCCGGGAAGGTGTAGGCGTGTAGCGGTCGGGGGAAGGCGCCATGGTGGGGCATGAGCGTGGAAACGCGGAGGGACTCAGCTTCGGTTACTTAGCATAGGCAAGTCACAACGTGACATACCATGCATCTCGGGCGTCCAGAATGAATCCAACGGAGATGGCGTTTGAGCCGGCACGCAGGCAAAAAGAATCTCCGTTTCAACCTAACAGGAGGCCCGCACGCGCACAGGACGCACTTAGCCTCGTCCTCGTCCATGTACGCCGGATCAGCCTGAGACAGACTCAACTTCGCCTCGCCCTCAGGTCCGCGTACGCCGGCGCTTCACCTCGCCCTTGTCGGCCGCTCCCGCGAAGCCAGCCGGGAGGCGCGCCACCGCGACTGGAGAGGCGCTAGGCCGCCCTGCCCTACCGCCGTGACCGGGGGTGCATGGAGGCGGCCGGCCGCCGGGCCTGACGGCACGGTGGTGCCGGCGGGCGGCCGCGCAGCCTGATAATTGCTCATTCTCATTTCATGCATAAAATTGCTCTCCTTGGATTTTGTCAACCAAAACACAATCCATCCATGTCGTATCAAGAAATGAAGGAGACATACGGGCTTGTTTGCAACGCATGAATTCGTACTAGGAATTTTGCAGGAATATCGCATAAAAACAGCTCCAGAGATGTCCTACCACCATTGATCAGGGCGACCATGCACATGAACTACTGACCATGAAATTTCACGATAGCACTACAGCAACGACGGCACTCCATTCAGCATCATCAGAGAGAGATTCAGAGCAACATTGCTGCATAGGACAACTGATCATAACAAGACATGAAACCTCCCACCTAGAATGAACTAAGGCTGCGTTCGTTTGTGTGAGATAGGGTGAGAAAACATCTCGTTTTTCACGCGCACGCTTCCCAAACTACTAAACGGTGTGTTTTTTGCAAAAATTTTCTATAGGAAAGTTGCTTTAAAAAATCATATTAATCCATTTTTGAAATTTAAAATAGTTTATACTCAATAAATCATGCGCTAATGGCTCACCTCGTTTTGCGTATCTTCCCAATCTTCTCAATCCCCT